CTTTCAAGGTAAGAAGAATGACAGGGGATTGTACAAGGTTCCTTGGGAAATATAAAAGACAGGTATTTGGTATATTCTTGAAGGTTAGAGGACAATTCCCAGAAGCAATGAAAACTAAAGTAACTCTTATAGGATGAATTAACACTCTTAAGAAGGGATTAGGTGTGTCAAGAGAAAAGAGTAAACAAAGGCACAGAACCCTGAAACATAATGGTGAATTCAGTGAACTAGGAGCAGTTGGGTGTTATTGGAACAAATTAAAAAAGGAGGTGAGAAGAAACGAGGCTGGAGAAGTGGTTGGCAGACTCCACGTAACAGAGCGAATTGTGTGTGATGCTGTTAACCCTATCATGAGGAGAGTTACTGAATTTTAAGCAGGGAGTGATACAGATTTGGAGTCTTAAGTATGTAACTACACATTTTTTTGTTTTGTTTGTTTTGCTTTATGTAGCTGACAAGCTAAGTGTTTTAACTGGCAATTTAGTTCATTTACAGTTGCTGATTAATTACATACTGATTTGCTTTTACTGTTTTACTTTTTTATGTCAATCTGTGTCAGTTTTCTTCCTCCTTTTTTGATTTCCGTGGTTTTTTTTTTCCTAGTTGTTAAATTGGTATTTGTCTTCTTTCTAAAAAGGGAAACCACTTCTTGGTTTCATCCCCATCACACCCTCTACTTCTCAACCTAAACAGTATGTGCAAGAAGACAATGTGGTCTTTGCATTTTTTTAAAAAATTGAAGGAAAGAACTTTGAAACAAATTTCATATTTAGCCAAGTCATTCAAATGTACACGAATAATAAAAAGATTCTCATCCATACTAAGTTCCTCAAGTGGGATGAGGAAGTGAGACATGTTAGCAAGGTAGTATGTTGTCCAGGCAGCATCTGCTGGTTTTAGTCCTCTTCTTTGAATAGTTCCTCCAAAAGTGTTTTTAAAATGGGTCTTTTTGTGACAAACCTTCTGAGATTTTTGGAGATTGTACCATAATGTATCTAGGTTTGGGGGGGTTCTTATCTCTTCTAAAGTGTGGGTTCTTCTTATCTCTTCTATTTAGTACTTCTGTGAACACTATCAATGTCAAATAGTTCATCTTTCTTTAATTATGAGAAATTGTGTGTATATATAATTATTTTAATTAATTTATATAATTAATTTAAAAATTAATTTACTTTTCTTTGATTTCTTCTATTTCTTTATTCTTCCCTTTCCTTTTGGAAGAGTTCCCAGGTCTAATTTTTTAACTAATTCATTTTTCTCCTATATCAATTCTAATATTTATTCCATCTCTTGAAGTTTTTTTTCACCTGTTTTTCATAACTAATATTTCCATTTGGTTCTTTTTTAATATAATTTCAACTTCACATTGCTAATATTTTCCCTTAGGTCTTTTAGTGTGTTTATTTTACTTACTGTAAATTCTTAGTTTTTCTGTTCTAATATATCTGTTTTTTTTGTTGTTGTTAACTTTTTCTATTGAGGAAGTTTTAATCCTCAGGTGTCTCGTTATGAGCTATATTCCCCTGGGGATGTTTGACTATGCTGTTAATGTGCATTGGAAAAGGACTGATGTCCAGATCTCAGTCCAGATGTTCATATACTTGGCTCTGGTAAGCTTCAGAACAGAGGAAGAGGAGGACCCCTAGGGCAGAGAACCTCAGGGTCCGCAGATCTACTGTCATCTTTATTTTTTTTTAACTACTCGACCTACCAATTCCTTAGATCTGAGCTTCACCTTTGAACTCTCAAATGGAAAAATAGTACTGGGGAGAGGGGCACTCCCTAGATTGTCATCTACCAGCCCTAAGGATTTGAAAGGGAAGGGGTAGAGGAGTAGATGCTTGAGGCTGGTTGTTCCCAGTGTGTTGGCCCCAAGAGGTTTTGCCCTGCCCCGATTTTACCCTGTGGGTATATGGGTTCTTATCTTGAATTTCTGGCAGGCAATAATGGATCGAAGGGAAAGTCAGGGTCGGGGGAGGGTGGCATGATTAGAACAGCTTTTCTTGAACAGCCTCCCACAGCCACACCAGCCATCAATTATCCCACACTCCAGTTCAAAACACTTTCCATCTCCCCTGGGGTTTTTCATGTTTATGTAGTTATTTCTTAGATTCCAAGCTTCCATTTTTAGTTCCTCCAGAGTGATTTTGGAGGAAGGAACTCATGTTAATTTGACACCTTGGCAGGATCTAGAATGTCTTCACTATTTTGAGTCCAAACTGTTTGGAACATACAGTTGATGGATGCAGAAAATAAATTTGTTTTGTTTTGTTTTTGAGGAAGATTAGCCCTGAGCTAACATCTGCTACCAATCCTCCTCATTTTGCTGAGGAATGCTGGGCCTGAGCTAACATCTTCTTCTACTTTATATGTGGGACGCCTGCCACGGCATGGCTTGATAAGCAGTGTGTATGTCCGCACCCGTGATCTGAACCAGCGAACCCCAGGCCACTGAAGCAGAATGTGCAAACTTAACCGCTGCATCACGGGGCTGGCCACAAATTTTTGTTTTTTAAGCCAACCAGTCTGTGGTCTTTTATTATGGTAGCCCTAGCAAAATAATACACTGGGTAAAAAGAAGATTGTGACAAAAAAAATTGTGCAAAGATGATAGAAGACAAGCTCCTGGAAATTACTTTGTCATAGAAGAGTATCTTGTCACAGAAGCCAAGGCAAGAGTGTTTCAAGAAGTGGGAAGCAGTCAACAGTGTTGAACTCTGCTGAGAAGTCAAGATGAGAACTGAAAACTGTTCTCTGGACTTAGTGACTTAGAGGATATTGGTATTCTTAAGACAGACTCTCTTGATGAAGTGATAGTGCAGAAAGTCAGAATGATGTAGCTTAGAGAGAGAGTGGGAGGTGGAGAAATGAAAACAGTGATTATGGACAACTCTTTTGAGGTTTGGCTGTGACAGGGGAGGGAATGAGGAATTTTTAATGGGAGAGACATGACCTTGTCTAAAAGTCAACAGAAACGTTCTAATCTAAAGGAAAAAATTGAAGATATGAGGAGTAGTTAGTAGAATAACACTCTTGAGAAGGTAGAGATGTGGGAGGGTTGAGCTTTTTAACATAAGGGTAGGAAAGGATAGAGGACTGGTTGCTCATCTTCTGGTGGTGAAGGTATTAGGTTGTTAAGGAGTCTTTGTTCTAAAAAGAAATCTCAGTTCAACTTTGCTTTATAACTAGTCATTTCCTCTCACATTCTGGTGTTTGGTTGGCTGGCTGTCTATTTTCCGTCCAGTTGTGAGTCTTCACCTTAATGCCATTGGTATTTTACTGAGAGTTGGGAGAAGCTTCAAAGAGCAGTTGCTAGTCAGATACTATAAAATGACAAGTTTCCTTTCATATTCTCAAGTTTTATGTTTAAGTACTTAAGCCATCTGGAGTTTATGATATGTGCAGGAAGTCTAATACTTTTCCCAAATTGCTAGCCATTTATTCTCATACCATTTCAATTCAATATTTGAGTATCTACTAATTGCTCTGTGTGATATGAAAAATTAATGAGAAATCTTTCTTAAAAACCTTAGTATTTAGGCAAGGGTTAAGTAAATATACCAATGAATATAATAGGAGGTGCAACAAATTAAGTGCCATAAAGCCAACTATCATTAATGGTTAAAGCACAGAGATTATGTCTTTCTGGATTCTTAAAAAAGACCAGATTTGATAGGGGACAATAGGGGGTTGCAGGTAGGAGAAGGGGTTTAGAGGAGAAAGGCAGTCCAGGGAGAGGTACCAGCACGAGCAAAGGCCCAATGAGAAACTGTGGGATATCTTTGAGAAATAAGGTAGAATACAGTGGAAGGTAGGCAATGCTAGAGTGAGTTTATAATTCAGTTAGTAGACAGCAAAACACAGGCCACACAATGGCCTAGAGATGGTCTGGGGCTCTAAAATGGCTGACTCAAGCTATCCTTGAAAAGGGTTAATTAACTTAATGGAATGTAGTTTAGATTGACTGGACAAAAAATTAAACAAGTTATAACCATATTACAAAGTAAAGTTTATTAAAAATCAAGAAAACATGTAAGATTGTGTGTGTGTGTGTGTGTGTGTGTGTATATATATATATATGTATAAGTTTCAACAGACAAGTTCTTCACTATCTCAATAAGCAGGGTTTTTATATTGGTGTTTAGGGCACAAACTTCTTCACAAAAGCTCATCAGTGAATAAAATCTTGTATTGTCCTCTTGACTCCACTGTAGCCTCCTCAGAGGGGAGGGCTGCTGTGGAAGTAACAGAACAAAAACTCCTCGGGATAAAGTGAATAGGTAGCTTCTCTCATTCTTCTTTCCCAGAGAATGACAGTCCTTGAATGGGAAGGGTGACAGGATTATAAAAGATATGAACGACTAGAGAGATACAGTAGGGCAGTGTTTCTTGACTCTGAAGAGCTAAGAGAGGTAGACAAGGAAAGTGGGAGGCTGTTACCAACAGGTGACCCTGCGTTTAAGGGAGAATGTGCTATGTGAGTTTTCTGATCTCCTTCTGGGTTGTTTTGTTTAGCTGACCAGGAAACAGATTCACGGCCCAGGGCCTCCACTCAGAGGAAAGCCCATGTGGCTGGAGCACGGGGGACAGAGAGGCCCTTCTCTCCTCAAAAACACCGAGCCCCTGAAAAAGTCAGCTGTGCTCCCCTTGGGAGTGAGTTCCCTGCTCTGAGGCTTCTCTCAGATGTTCAGAAACACCCACAGCAAGCCCTATGCTCCCTGTTGTCAGAAGTGAGTACGGCTTTTCAGGAGGGTACGCAGCTTTGGACAACCAAGTCTTCTTGGCATTTGCTGATATCCCACCTCTCTGGACTTTGGCTGCTTTTGAAGGCACGGCAACTTACCTGTGCATTACGTTAGGTTTCACTACCTTTTCCCTTTTTGGAGTTCCAATTCTGCTTCTAGTTGTAGGAGAGACTTAAGATGCTAATCAAGAGGTTAAAGTTATTATAATAACCTATGTATAGAGGCCTGGTGCTAAGAGTAGCAGATAGGAGCCAGTAAAAATGAAAGTAAGAAGTCTTAGGGGAAAAAATTAAGGAATCATGACTTTAGGGTCTAACAGTGTTTCAACACAGATGCTAAATTGTTGAAGGGTGAGGTGCTGGGGAGGGAGTCAAACAGAACAGTACAATCCAGGTGCTAAAGGTACCGCCTTCCTTAGAAGGTCATGGTCTGGGCTCTGAGTCCACCAGTAAGTAGTCAAGTTCCCTGAATCAATGGCCTAGGGCTGAGGCTTCTGAAGAGGCCTCCAAAGCACTCCAGGTGTGGAGGGCCTCAAAGCAGCAGAAATCAGGCTGGTTGAGGATGGTTGGCCAAGACTGAAACTTCACGTACAAAAGGGTGAAAAGCCACAGCTTACATAGTGTCTCCCCCCATGACTCCTTCTCTGGAGGTCCTCAGCCCACTGCCCTCCCCAATCTGACATTCTCTGTCAGCTTCGTGCTATTTCCACGATTGCCTAATTTCTTGCGGCCAAACTGTACTGGGCGGGAAGGGGAAAGGAGATCTGGTTTCTCTAAAGTCACATCTGACAGCCCTCTAGGCCAATGTGTATTCTTCTAGATCTTGATGCTGAGCAGTGCAAAAAGAACGGCAGGACAGGCTCCAGTTGTCTGGATGAGGACTTTCACTTCTCAGCCTCTGCCCCTCAGAGCACTGTCTTTTCAAGGCATGAATTGGCCGAAGGTGCTTCCTTCTCCCAGAGCCACCCTGGTCTCCTGTTACCTTTCATTTCTTCTTAATCTATATAGCCTTCCCCTCTCCAAAGAAATCAGTCTGATAGGCAGGAAAGAAAGCAATGAAACCATTAGAGATAGAAAAATTATTATGCAAATAGCTATGCAAACTGGGACCCTGGCAAGCTGCCAAAAGACTTCCCTGAATAAGTTGTACGTCCCTGTATTACAGGTACCAAATCAGAGTAACACATCCAGGAGAACAAAATGAGAATTCAAAAAACGGCATCTTAGAGGTCCACCCGATCCTGAGACCTTTCTGAAATACTCTATTACAGTGGCTCTGAGCAAGTCTCTTCTTAGCTGCTTGCTGAAGGCTGAAGCCGATGCTGGACCGACTGCAAAGGCACCAGCTGTCCTTAGGAGGAATGTGAGGACTGTGAAGGAAAAACAGCAGCCTTGCTTCTAGGAAAGTAATATCTGATAAGGACGGTCAAGGATTATATGTCATCACTTTAAAATCAGCTTTCCTAAAACTACTAGTTCTCTGGTTTAGCAATAAGTGAAATAACCACTCCAGAAATAGCATGCCTTAATTCCCTGTCACCATATCACAAATCCTTCCAGTATTGCTAGCAATTATTATTGCTACTGTTATCTGATGTACTACAACTCTTTTGAAACTGCTTGAATTGTGCAAGCATATAAAATAATGACTTCTCTGCTAAGTTCTTACAGTGATTAAAATGTCTTGCAAACCACCACTGAATGAATGAATTTCAATAAGTATCTAAAGTAAAAAGATGGGAATTTCTGTATGATTATAGCATTTGGGGGTCAATTCAGCTTCTTCTAGTGATTTTGGTTTCAGTGTAACAGTTCAAACAATGCTAACTTCTACAGCAAGGAGGTCATTAGAAGAAAATATTAGTCTAGCAAAACTAAATTAAACCCTAATGGACAAAATGAATTTCACACTGCTCTTTAAGAATACATTCAGAAAGGTTCAGATATAAAATAGTTTACTTGTTAGTTTGGTTAATTATTTATTTTAGTGAACAGAGCGAAGCCCTTTGAATTAGGACTTGGTCCAGAGGCCTGAAGGATCTCTAGAGAAGTGCTGTAAAAAGATTCAGTATGTTATCAAATGACAATTATTCAATTAATTCCCCCCTTCATATGTCTTTTAATCTAGCTGTTGGCACCCAGAAATGCTTGGGTCTATTTATCTCCTTGGATATACAAGTTAGAAAGTGCTTCTTAGTTTTTGTCTCATTGAAGAGGGGCAGAGTGAAAATGTGGCAGAAGAGGACTTGGCCTTGAACTAAATAGTGACACCAGAAAATGCAAGACATCTTTCCTTTCGGGCTGGGAGGGCCCACCATTAGGATAACAAAAGGATACATGTAAGTTGGGATGCCTTTTGCAGCCAAGTGTTTCCGAATAAGTCGCTCAGTACCATACCAGTTAAAATCTTTCGTGGCGTGTCCAATGCGTGGAAGATGGACACTTGCTGTTAAAAAAAAAAAAAAGAATACATCATGATGCCTTCATTTATCAAAAATTGATTCGGTATAATACATGCATAGGAGAAAATAATCTATATTCTCTGAGTCACTTTATGGTTTTCAACGGACAAAATGTATACGATCATGGAGTATCCCACTCAAAGCATACGATTACGTCAAAAATATTCTGGGGAGGGATTCTAACAGGGAAAACTTAAATAATTCTACCAAACACAAGGATCTATAGGCTCTGGAAATAAACAGGTACAATGGAAATAGAATACGATCGATGGTTGAGATGTAATTAAAATAAGCAAAGATTCTTTTAACAAGTCAATCAGTTCAACAAACTCTGAGACACACCTTTGGAAACAAAACTCAACTCTGGTTTTTGGCAGAGAACTGTCTGCTAATGTGGACTGTGACTCTCCGAGAAGGGATATGATAAACAGTAATTCCCAACTGTACGAGACCAGTGTACTCTCTTTCTGGTCCTCTGCTTCCTCCTCTGTAAAATCATGATACAAATACCCTAGTGGGTGCAGATGGTCCCCAGAGATAATAGATGCAGAAGTGATCTGGAAAGGAAAAAGGGCTTTACAGATACAGGAGGATGAGGTGGTTCCATCTGTGGTCTCATACAAGGGCTCACTTTTACCGTGTATATCAAATGGGATCTTGACATTTCTCACTTCCCTTTAAAAATCACATCACGTATTGGAAACAGAAATTCATTTACTTCTGAGCACAAATGGAAGAGCTTACCTTTCTTTTTCTTTGCTGCTAAAAATATCTTCTTCAGGCCTTCTTCTAGGGCTGCCATCTTAATGCCAGACAGGACGTTGAAGCGATCACGATGCTGAGCCACAATCAAGGCCAACTAGGAGAACAGTCATTAAACAGTCGACATGACATGAGATGGCTACACTGTCACCTAAGTGACCAGCCCATGGAGTGGTGCAGGCAGTCCCCCGACGGGCACAGCCCTTTATGGGTCACTCAGGCTTAGCTCCATCTCTTTTGAATGCTCTGCTGTAACAGCCATGTTCTGCCCAATCTGACTTCTCACCCCATCATAACTGTTTTATTTGGTGGTTTCTTTATATAAGGTTTTCTTCCTCTTTTGAAGATGCATTAAAACTTGAGTCCGAAACATGCTATCCTTTCTAAATGTTCTAGAGGGCAAAGAATGTTTCAGAATCTTAGGAGCACAAAGAACATTAGAGGTCCTTGCTCTCCAGCCCACTAGCTGACGCTCAAGTCAGCACCACAACCCCCAGGATAAGCAGTCATTCGACCTCTGTTCAAACAAATCCTGTGAGGACAAAACGCCAAATAACCAGCCCTCTGCCCTAACCTAAGTGGGGTGGAGCTGGAGAGTGTGGCAAGGGAACATCTGAGGCTGACATCATTAGTCACATCACAGTCATGGTGTTTACTCACCATCAACACTAGAGTCACTGGATTCAGAGCTGCTTATGCATAACCACTGTGTCATTCTCTTTTTTTAGCATTTGAGAAATGACTCAATGAATGAACAAGCAGGAACCACTCTGTTGTTAGCCATGCGGGCCACTAACCTCAAGACGACATGCTCTCTTTCAGCAGGGTTTCTAAATTTCTTCTTTTCTAAGTCAATAAGATTTGGCTTGAAATTTGAATATGAATTCAGGCCTTGGAGAAAGCTATGTAGGTGTGGTAAATAAACCATCTCAGAGGAATTCCAAATGACAGGCAAGTGGGAGACACTTAAGATGCAAAAGGAGAGTTGTAATGCAGGCAGAGGAAATATGAATTGGTTCCTCTCCTCTGCTTATGGTTGGCTAGAAAACATGATCTTTCATAGAACTTTTCATGTAATAAATGATAAAATCCTTAGCATTTTGTCATGCTCTCTTATTCATTCAGTAAATGTTTACTGAGTATTTCCTATGAGCCAGTACCGCATGAAGTATTGAGGATAAAAGAAATGAGTCTGAGCACTCGGGAGGAGCCTGCCGTCTAGGTCAGTGCAGGGGGAACAAGCAAGTAGAGGACAGCACTCCAGGAGGTGTGATGGACTGAGGCATGGGGTTGGGGGTGGGGGGCAGATTGGCTGCTGCAGTGGAGACGAGGCCCAACCTGCTTATTATGGGCTGAACTGTGCCCCCCAAAATTCGTATGTTGAAGCCCTAACCCCTATTAGTTCAGAATGTGACTGGAGGTAGGGCCTTTAAAGAAGCGATTATTTTAAAATGCGGCCATTAGGGTGGGGCCTAACCCAATGTGACTGGTGTCATTATAAGAAGAAATGTGGACACTCAGAGAGATACCAGGGATGCATGCGCACAGAGGAAAGACCACGTGAGGACAGAGAGAGAAGGCGACTATCTATGAGCCAAGGAGAGAGGCCTCAGAGGAAACCAACCCTGCTGGCACCTTAATCTTGGATGTGTAGCCCCCAGAACTGTGAGAAAATAATTTGTTTTGTGTGTGTGAGGAAGATTGGCCCTGAGCTAACATCTGTAGCCAATCTTCCTCTTTTTGCTTCAGGAAGAGAGGCCCCAAGCTAACATCTGTGCCAATCCTCCTCTTTTTTTGTATGTGGGACACTGCCACAGCATGGCTTGATGAGCGGTGTGCAGGTCAGCGCCCAGGATTTGAACCGATGAACCCCGGGCTGCTGAAGTGGAGTGTGTGAACTTAACCACTATGCCACTGGGCCAGCCCCCATAAATTTGTTTTTTAAACCACCCAGTCTGTGGTATCTTGTTATGGCAGCCCCAGCAAACTAATACACTGTTAGGCCAGAGGGAGCAGAGAGGTTTCAAGAGGAGGTTAATATGAGCCAACCTTTAGTTCTAATAAGAGATGTGGTTTTTTTACTTACCAAATCTTGCCCTTTGTTTCTTGACTCTTTATCATCAACAGGAAATAAAAGGACACCTCCCAAACTCAAATCTAAGGTAAAGTAAAAAGGAGCAACAGAAAGAACATCAAGTTTACTATGGACTGAGATCCCTCAACAGGGACTACTCTGGGTCCTCCTTACACCTTGCCTTTTCCATATCCACTTGGGTTTCAAACCCACCTTTCCTCACTTTCCTGGCCTCAGTCGCTGCCTTAGCCAGTGACTTGATGCACTCAATTTTTTTTTTTGCTCAATTTTTATTTTTAAATGTTTAATTGTTGTAAAATACATGTAACATCAAATTTACTATCTTAACTGTTTTTAGTGTACAGTTCAGTAGTCTTAAGTACATTCACACTATTGTGTAATTGATCTCCACAACTCTTTTCATCTTGCAAAACTGAAACTCTATAACCATTAAACAATATCTCCCCATTCCTGCTACAACTACCATTCTACCTTCTGTCTCTATGAATTTGACTATTGTAGTTACTTCATATAGGTGCAATCATACAGTACTTGTCCTTTTGTGATTGGCTTATTTCACTTAGCATAGTGTCCTCAAGGTTCCTCCACGTTGTAGCATGTATTAGAATTTTCTTCCTTTGTAAGGCTGAATAAAATTCTATTATATTTATATATTTATACTACATTTTGTTTATCCATTCATTCATCAAGGGACACTTGCTTCCACCTTTTGGCCATTGTGCATAATGCTGACATGAACATGGGTGTACAAACATCTGCTCGAGTTCCTGCTTTCAATTCTTTTGGGTATATACCCATAAGTGGGATTGCTGGATCATATAGTAATTTTATTTTAATTTTTTGAGGAAACGCCATATTGTTTTCCACAGTAGCAACACCATTTGACAGTCCCACTGTCAGTGTACAAGTGTTCCAATTTCTCCACATCCTTACCAACATCTGTTCTTGTTTTTTCTTTATTAAGATATAATTGACAGCATTGTGTAAGTTTAAGGCATACAGCACATTGATTTGACACATTTATATTGCAATATGATTGCCACTATAGCACTAGCTAACATCTCAATCATGTCATGTTAATTATCATTTTTTCCAGTGGTGGGAACAATTAAGATCTAGTCTCTTAGCAACTTTAAGGTTTATGATACAAGTTTTCTTGTCTGTGGTTCTTGTACTGTGTATTAGATCTCCAAGATTCGTTTATCTACTAGTTCCAAGTAGATAGTTGCAAGTTGCATGTACCCTTAAATATCTCCCCCATTCCCCCACCCCTCAGGCCCAGTAACCACCATTCCACTCTGTTTTTTCGAGTTTGGTTTTTTCAGATTCCACATATAAGGGATATCACACAGCATCTGTGTTTCCCCGTCTGACTTATCTCACTTAGCAAAATGTCCTCAAGGTACATTCATGTTGTCACAAACAGTAGAATTTCCTTTTCTCTCATGGCTAAATAGTATTCCATTGTGTATACATACCACATTGTCTTTATCCATTCATCTGTTGACAGACACTTAGGTTGTTTTCATATTTTGGCTATTGTGAAATGCTGAAATCAACATGGGAGTACATATATCTCTTTGATAACCTGATTTCATTTCCTTTAGATATATATCCAGAAGCGGGATTGCTGGATCATATGGTAGTTCTATTTTCAACTTTTTGAGGATCATCCATATTGTTCTCCATAGTATGCTGAACAAGTTTACAATCCCACCAACAGTGTACAAGGGTTCCCTTTTCTCCACATCCTTGCCAACACTTGTTAGCTCTTGTCTTCTTGATGATAGCCATTCTAACAGGTGGGAGGTGATATCTCATTGTGGTTTTGAGTTCTATTTCCCTGATTATTAGTGACGTTAAGCATCTTTTCATGTACCAGTTGGCCATTTGTATGTCTTCTTTGGAAAAATGTCTATTCAGTTCCCTTGTTCATTCTTTAATCAGATTGTTAAAAAGATCAGATTGTGGGGGGTTTTTTCTTATTGAGTTGTCTCAGTTCTTTTCAAATGTAGTATATTAACCCCTTATCCAATATATGGTTTGCAAATATTCTTTCCCATTCTGTAGGTTGCCTTTTGATTTTGTTGTTTCTTTTGCAGTGCAGAAGCTTTTAATCTTGATGTAGTCCCACTTGTTGCTTTTTCCTTTGTTGTTTGTGCTTTTGGTTTCATATCCAAAAAATCACTGCCAAGACCAATATCGATGAGCTTCTTCCCTATATTTTCTAGGAGTTCTATGGTATCAGCTCTTAGTTTAACTCTTTGATCCATTTTGAGTTAATTTTTATGTGTAGTATAAAATAGGAGTCCAATTTCATTTTTCTGCATGCAGTTATCCAGTTTTCCCAACACATTTGCTGAAGAGACTATTCTTTCACCATTGGATGTTCTTAGCTCCTTATCAAATACTAGTTGTCAGTGTATGCAGTTTAATTCTTGGCTTTCTATTCGGTTCCATTGGTCTATGTGTCTATATTTAGCCAGTACCATACTGTTTTAATTACTATAGCTTTGGAGCACAGTTTAAAATCAGGAAGTGTGATGCCTCTGGCTTTTCTCTTCTTTTTCATGACTGCTTTGATTATTTGGGGTCTATTGTGATTCTGTATACATTTCAGGATTGTTTTTTCTATTTCTCTGAAAAATGCCATTGGAATTTTGATAGGGATCACATTGAATCCATTGATGGCTTTGGGTAATATGGACATTTTAACAATATTAACTCTTCTGATCCATGAACATGGGATGTCCTTCAAATTGTGTTTTCTTTGATTTTTTTTCAACAAAGTTTTGCAGTTTTCATTGTCTAGATCTTTCATCTCCTTGATTGAACTTATTTCTGGGTATTTTGTTGTATCTGATGTTATTGTGAATGGGATAGTTTTGTTTCTTTTTCAGATATTTCATTGTTAGTGTATAGAAAAGCAACTGATTCCTGTGTAATGATTTTATATCCTACAACTTTACTGAATTCATTGATTAGATCCAACAGGTTTTTAGTTGAAATTTTGGGATTTTTCTATAAGATCATATCAACCGCAAATAATGACAATTTTCCCTTCTTCTCCTTTCTGATTTGAATGCCCTTTAATTTCTTTGTCTTGCCTGATTGTTGTAGTTCGAACTTCCAGCACTATGTTGAATGAGAGTGGTGAGAGTGGGCACCTTTGTCTTGTTCCTGATCTTAGAGGAAAAGCTTCCAATTTTTCTGTATTGAATATAATGTGAGCTGTGGGTATCATATAAGGACTTTATTATGCTGAAGTATGTTCTTCATATACCTATTCTGTTGAGGGTTTTTATTACCAGTATTCTGTTAAATGCTTTTTCTGCCTCTATTAAGAGAATCATGTGATTTTTATCTTTCATTCTATTAATGGGGTGCAAAACCTTTGTTGATCTGCGTATGTTGAACAATCCCTGCATCCCAAGGAGAACTCTCACTTGGTCATGGTGTGTAATCTCTTTAATGAGTTCTTGAATTCGGTTTGCTAATATGTTTGAGACTTTTTGCATCTATGTTCATCAGGAATATTGGTCTACAGCCTTCTTGTAGTGTTCTTATCTGGCTTTAGTATCAGGGTAATACTGGTCTTATAGAAAGAGTTTCGAAGTGTTCCCTCCTCCTCAATGTTTTGGGAAGAATTTGAGAAGGATTAGTATTAATTCTTTAAATGTTTGGTAGAATTTGCCCATGAAGCTATCTAGTCCTGAGTTTTTCTGTGTTGGGAGGTTTTTAATTACTGAATCAATCTCCTTACTCATTACTGGTTTGTTCAGACCTTGTTTCTTCCTGGTTCAGTCTTGGTAGGTTGTATGACTCTACAAATTTATCCATTTCTTCTAGGTTATGTAATCTGTTGATGTATAATTGTTCATAATGGTCTCTCATGAGCCTATGTATTTTTGTAGTGTCAGTTTAATTTCTCCTATTTCATTTCTGATTTTGAGTCCTCTTTTTTCTTACTCTTGCTAAAGGTTTGTCAATTTCTTTCTTTTTTTTTTAAAACTAGCTCTTAGTTTCACTGATCTTTTTCTGTTTTTCTGATCTCTATATCATTTATCTCAGCTCTGGTATTTATTTCCTTCTTCCTTCTGCTAACTTTGCGCTTAATTTGCTCCTTTTTCTAGTTCCTTGAGTTGTAAAGTTACATTGTTTGAGAACTTTCTAATTTCTTATATGCATTTATCACTATAAACCCCCCTCTCAGATCTGCTTTTGCAGCATCCCTTAAGTTTTGGTATGTTGTATTTCATTTTCATTTGTTCTGAGGGTTTCTTTGGTTTCCCTTTAGATTTCTTCTTTGACCCATTAGTTGTTCAGAAGTGTGCTGTGTGCTATTTAGTTTTCAAATATTTGTAGGTTTTCCAGCTTTCCCCATGTTGTTGATTTCTAGTTTCATACCATTGTGGCCAGAAAAGATACTTGGTATGATTTCAATCCTCTTATTTTGCTATGACTTGTTTTGTGCCCTACTATATGACCTATCCTTGAAAATGTTCCATGTGCACTTGAGAAGAATGTGTACTTTGCTGCTGTTTGATGGAATGCTCTACAGATATCTATTAGGTTGATTTGGTGTAAGATGTGGTCCAAGCCCATAATTTCCTATAGATTTTCTGTCTGGATGATCTATCCATTACTGAAAGTGGGGTATAAAGTCCTCTACTATTACTGTGTTGTCTATTTCTCCCTTCACATCTGTTAATATTTGCTTAATATATATAGGTGATCCAATGTTGGATGCTCATAAACTATTGTTATATCTTCTTGATTGATGGATCCCTTTATCATTATATAATGACTTTCCTTGTCTCTTGTTACCATTTTTGGCTTAAAGTCTATTTTATCTGATAAGTATAGCTACTCACACTTTCTTTTGGCTTCTACTTGCATGGAGGATCTTTTTCCATCCTTTCACTTTGAACCTGTGTGTGTCTTTAAGGCTCAGGTTGATCTCTTGTAGGCAGCAAATAGTTGGGTCTTTTTATCCATCCAGACACTCCATGCCTTTTGCTTGGTGAATTCAATCCATTTACATTTAGAGTAATTATTGACATATAAGTACTTACAAATGCCATGTTAATTGCTTTCTAGTTGTTTTGTAGTTCCAGTCTTTCTTTTTCCCTCTGTTTCTGTCTACCTTTGCAAATTGGTTATTTTCTGTGGTGGCAGGCTCTGCTTCCCCTTCTTCTCTTATGAATCTGCTCTAGGTTTTTGCTTTGCAGTTACCATGGGGCTTACCAAAAACATCTTATAGATAAAACAGTCCATTTTAAGCTGATAGCAACTTATGTCCAACCGCCTATAAAGGCTCCCCTTTTATATTATTGCTGTCACAATTTACTTCTTTTTATGTTGTATATTCATTAACAATTTATCACAGCTAGGTTATTTCTACTACTCTTTTCTTTTAACCCTTATACTATAGTTGAGTGCTTAACGCACCATAACTAAGATACAGTGACAGTTTTCTAAGTCTATTTTTCACCTTTACTCCTTTCAGCATCTTGCATAGGAGGTCTAGTGATGGTAAACTCTCTCATCTTTTGCCTGTCTGGAAGTCTTTATTTCTCCTTTACATCCGAAGGATAACTTTGCCAGATACAGTATTCTTGGTTGGCAATTTTTCTCTTTTAACACTTTGAAGATGTCATTCCACTTTCTCCTGGCCTATCAACTTTCTGCTGAGAAATCTGATAGCTTAATGGGGGTTCCCTTTTAGGTTATGTTCTTTTTTCCCCTGGCTTCCTTTAAGATTCTTTCTTTATCATTGATTTTTGACAATTTCATTACACTGTGCCTTGGGGAAGGTCTTTTTGCATTGACATAATAAGGTGACTTACTAGTTTCATGAACTTGTACGTCCAAGTCTTTCCCCAGTTTGGGAAAGTTCTCAGCTAATATTTCTTTAAATAAACTTTCTGCCCCCTTCTCCCTCTCTTCTCCTTCTGGAAGCCTGCTTATTCTGATATTTGTCTTTTTTATCCAATCCCATAGCTCATGTACGCTTTCTTCGCTCTTTTAAAAAAATCTCTATTCTTTCATCTCTTCTGTGTTATTTCAAAACTCCTATCTTCCAAGTCACTTATTCTTTCTTCCACATTGTTGGCCCTATTACAGCTGCTCTCTATTGCATTCTTCATCTCATTCATTGAATTCTTCAGCCCCAGAATTCTTTTTTTTTTTTTTATAATTTCATTCTCTTTGGAAAAGAACTCATTTTGTTCATATGTTTTATTCCAGATTTCAATGAATTGCCTTTCTGAGTTTTCTTGTAACTCAAATTTCTTCATAACTATTCTGAATTCTTTATCAGTTTAGATCACGATACTCTGTGCTTTTGAACTTGGTTGCTGGAGAACTGTCATTTTCTTGATTTTTCACATTCCTCATAGTTACGCGCTGGTGCTTTCACATTTGAAATAGCAGACATGTCTTTAACTCTGCTTGTTGCCTTCTGCAGAGGGGTGTTGTGTTCTATGGTATTGTTATTGTGAGGTGTACCTCCTCCACTCTTCTTGCTCTCTCTTGTGGCTAAATTTTAAGCTTTTGCGTCTTCTCTGGTTCTTACAATTCACCATGCTGGCTATTGGAAATCTCTCTTTTGCCTTCGAACAGTTGGAGCTATAGCTCAAGTTTGTAGTTTATTCCTTGCCCACCAACCATGGCCTGTTTTCTGAGTGTGCTCACACAGACACACTCAGAAGCCAGCAGCAGAGTCAAGGGAGGTGTGGGTTTAGCATTCAGGGCACTGGGGGTACCCGGGGGCCCAGTAAGGAGCTCCCCAGGGTTGGTATTCCCAGAGGCTCATGGGTGAACTTCCTCCTGAGCACAATCCCTTTGATGCTGTTTGAAATTCTTACCTGCCTCTTTCCCAGTATCCTTCCTCTCCCCAGTCATAGAGCTCTCACCTTAGTACCAGCACTCTGAGTGCTGGTGGAGACAAACGGGTTTCTCTAATTATGTCCTGCCTGGCCAGGACAGCTGGGTTCTCACTCACCACTTCCCTTTTCCTTGCAGGAGAGGCTGCCTTCACCAGATAAATCAGCTCTGTTCAGTGTTTCCTTGGGGTAAAGGGGACAGCACTGAGAAAGTTTCTCTTATCCTCCAAACCTCCACTGTGATCAAACTCATATCTTTTTCTTTTTCTCCAACAATATGTTGGAGTCTCCCTTTGGGAAGGCTAGACTTCTACAAGTTCTGTCTCAGGTGTGAGTAACTGCTCGGGTCAGCATTCACCTGATTTTTGCCTGATGGTGGCAAGAAGGAGTTTCACTAGCTCTGCAGCCCACATGGAGGTTTGTCTGTCTCTTACTGGCTGAGCTGGTGGGCAAGACTCCTCTTGGGTCCCTTGGAGTAAGGTGCTAGGTCCCCAAAGACCCACCAAGGTGCTTTTGTTTGTGTATGGATACCTAATTTGGTGATTAAAAAGGGGGATAAAAAGGAGTGATGTCTTACATTGCCACGAAGCCAGTGTCATGCCCTTCACTCCTGAATTTTTATGATCATCTAATTCAGTGCCCCTTAAATGTTACCTACAAAGTAATCCTGCAGGCATTGGAGAGTGAACGCAAAACCCAGAGGCATCTGGGGGGACAGGAAAGAGAGAGCGCTACGAAGTTAAAATTCCTTTAGAAGTCTTATGATTGTTTTAAACCATTCAAATATTGCATACTACTATATCTATATCTACTTGTATACCTGCCTCATCCAAATCAAATCAAACTGATGCTCTAGAAAAATGTGCTAAAATAATTCTATGGCTTTACATGCTTCAGTTTGAATCTTTTGTCCTCTTAAACCACCCTGCACACCCTAATCTCTTAAGTCATTCTAAAATACTGGCTCTGCTATGACATTCTTCTACTCAAATCTCCCAAATGATTAGTCACTACCCATTGGATAAGGTCCTGCTTAGAATGGCATCTCCCAGGACAAGCCATATAAAATCTTCCATAATCTGGCCCAAATCTCTCTTTAAAATATAACTCTACTCTATTCCTCAGCCTAAACCCTCTACTCTGGCTTGCCTGGCCTATGCACCATCCCCCAAACACATTCACTCTGTAACTGCCTGGGTCATTCAATACCCTGTACTGGGGATGGTAGGACTTGTGGGAATACTGAAAGAAAGAGATGCAAGTTAGGGATCCTCTTGCCATTTCTCTCCACCTGCTTAAATTCAACCCATCTTTCCAGGGCCAAGATAACATTCACCATCTCCATGAAGCCCTCTCTGGTAATTCTAGCCCACACTTTCATCTACCCTGCTCCCCTATTTCAATCCTTCTGAAGAAGAGTACTCACTCCCCTCTGTTTTCTTAGTGACCACTTATACCTTAACTGTGTGCACCCAGGGTTTAGTCTTCACACTGTCCTCAAAGTGTTCCAAGAGCATGTGACTGCCTTGGGGCAAATCCAATGGCCTTTTCCTAATTCTCATCCTGACTTCAGTGTTTGAAAATGCAGACCTTTTCTTGAAATCCTCTCCTCCCTTGTACCTCAAAATACTACACTCTCAAGGTTCTCTTATTTATCTGGCAATTTGTTCTGTCTCCCCTTCCTGCCTCTGCTCCTAAGCGGAGGTGTTTTCCATTTTCTGTTCTCTGTCTTCTCATTTCTCTGTCCTATGTCCCTCACAGTTTCAAACAAGGATCCAAATAGGGATTCCTCAGTCTGGATCTCTAGCTCTGACTTATCCTGAACTCTCTGCCTTTCCAATGGCCCAATCAATATCTAGATCTGGGTTAATTATTTTAACACATATTGAACCCTTCTTTCAGTAATCTGTTTTAGTAGAAAGAGAATTCACTCTAAGTCCTTACATCCCTTTCCACCATAGAGAACTGGGCAGAAGAATTAGGAAAAACCAATCTCTAAGAAATCTGAAGGGTCCTTCTCTCCTAGACAAGGTCCTTTGGCCTCTCAAGTCCCAAAGAAATGATCACAATAATTTTACTCCTCCTACCGCTTTTTGATTTCTGCACATAAAAGAAGGTACCCTTTCCCCTTCTCTATGCTGAGGGAGATCACTGTCCAGCCTCCCAAGTTTCCTAGCCCTGAACAGCTTTATTTCTGTCTCCAGCGAGTGTTGTACCCCAGCCTGTGGTTAACTTCCTAATCCTTCCCCTCAGCACCCAACCTGAGCTCTTGTTAGCATTCTAACGGTGTGTCTGATTTCTCTCCCACAGGTCTGACATTTTGGTGAGATATTCCCTTACAAAGGTGGGGTGAGTCAGGTAAACAATGAAATGACCTTCATGCCAATACTTTAAAATGCACGCAGAGATGGACATTTATCAAAATACTTGCACATTCATTATCCTAATTAGAGTCTCATGAGTAGGTGGAACAAATATTACTTACAAATTAGAAATGAGAAAACAGGCAGAAGGATGGCAAGGGACTGCCTCGAAGTCACATAAGTAGGTAACTGATGACAGAATTCAGAATCCAACCAGCTCTTCCAACTCCTTATCTAGTGCTTTTTAACCCACATGATGCCTGTCCTAAGTGTCCTCTCTTCTCTTATTCCAGCCCTAACCATTCTTTGCTTTGCTTCTTACCTTTCATTTTCCCAGCCAGCTCATATATTTTTCTTGGCTCAGCAGATCGTGTTTCCAGAGCTGTGAATAAACCACCTCGGCCCCAGCGGCCAGAATCATCTGAGAGAAGAAAAAGAAAATTTTTGTCTATGGGAGGAAAAGTCCAGTCCACGATTTAAAAAAATAATGGTACACCAAATAGACTTGCAGAAGAATGATTTTTCAAAGGGAAGAAAAAACTATCTAATCTCCTAGGAATATCACAGGTTGGACTTCTCAAATATGTTTAGGTTTTCTGGAATATACCTGGCCATCATAACAGGAAAGCATTAAAAAAAGGTGTGCTCTGAAAGAGCAAAATCTCTGTGGTACTCCTGTAATTCCTGGGACATGACTGAGGAAGGATGGATGGAAGATATAACAGAGAGAGCTGAAGCACTGGTAATACAACCGCACACAACTTTCATTGTAAAGATGAACAACAGGAAAGGTTAATGATGTATTCAAGTTGGCACTATCATAGCTGGTGAGCACCTTTTATTTCTGCTCATTCATTCAATCATTCTACAAATATTTGTTAGCATGTATTACTTGTCAGGCACTGTTCTCGGCACTAGGGTTATAGCAGGTGACAAAAAGAAAAAAATCCCATGAAGCTTATTTTCTAGCGTAATGAGATAGTCAAATAAACAAATACATACATAATATGTCAGGTGGTGATACGTGTAATAAAGTAAAATAAGGTAGGAAAGGGATAGAGAATAATAGAGGCATCTGTTTTATTTGAGGCAATCAGGGGAGACCTCTCTGAGACACAGACATTTGAACAATGCTTGATGTGGCTGTCAGGGAAAGAGGGTTCCAGGCAGAGGTGGTAAAAAGTGCAAAGGTCATGAGGGTGGAACATGACTGGAATTTTGCTTTTTCTCAGCGAATTCATTTATCTTATAGATGTTGCCTCCTTTCACCCTCTTAAAAACCTTGTGCAGAGAATAGGGCAGTGTTACCCCATTATACAGATAATGAAGTTGAGGTACAGGGAGGCTGGGTTACTCAGTCGGGTCAACAAGGGAGCCAAGGGTCAAACCCAAGTCTCCAAATTCTAAAGTCTACCTTTCTTAGGCTGCACTGCGCCCATCAAACACCCCTATGTCAGCGTTCTGCCACATCCTCCCCAGTTTTTGGCACCATAAAAATTGAGGAACCCACCCCAGGCCTGTACCACTTCTCCTACCTACGCAGTGCACGATGACAGCATCCTCTGCCCCAGCCTGTGGGTGGGTGACGTCACCACTAACATAGTTGATGGAGGTCGAGCCTGGGTCTTCATAATCCAGATGGACAGGGCTCTCATCTTCCCCATCCTCTAGGTCCTCTGGTTCGCTATCCTTGGAAGGCAGGCAGAAGGAGTGGTAACTGTTGGACTCCCACCAGGCCATCCTTCAACAGGCCAGAGAGAAAAGGAAATTAACCAGGCCTATCCCAATGTCCCTTGGAGCACATTTTGTACTGCTATTCACAAACAGTGTCAAGTGGAAATGCAATCAGAAGCTCACTTTGATTTGAGGTTTTCTGCCTATTTGTAAACAAACAAGTCCCATTGATTAGCTTAAATGCCACCTGACGTTACTTCAGTAATGAGCAGCCATCAGATGTCCCTGTTTTTAAGAATGTTACTAAAAGTTCAAGTAAACCACTCTTTGTCAGACAGCTACAATAAAATCTTAAAATTTTCTTGCTTCAACTGAATGCATCTTCTCTGCCTTAGGCACTCAGGACTTTTCACTTAAGTAGACTGACTGCTAAGGTTAAAGTTTAATCTTTAGAAAAGTATTCTATTACCAGTAGGAACTACTAGCTTTATAGAAGTTTTCTGGAATTTTAAAGTGATGTTCAACTGTGGACTCAGTATACAAGAACGATTCCTTTATCAATTGTGACCCTCATTTTTATTAACAATACAATCAATTAACACTTTTTTGATCACACATACTTTTTCTTATGTTCCTCTTCTTCCTTTTTCCTTTTCTTCTCCTCCATTAGTCTCTTTCTGTTGGCTGCTGCTTCTTGTCTTCTCTTCCTCCTGTCCTCCAGCTCTTCTGGGCTCAGAATTCGCTTCCTCTTGGTAGAGCCCTCCACAAGGCCTGGGATGAGAACCTGTAGGAAGAATAAGATCTATAATCAGGAAGGTTGGGGACAGCCAGTTCCTTCATGAGTTTCATTTGTTCCTAAACACAATCTGTATGGAAGCAACATGCTGAATATTTCATAAAACACTGCATCTCCAAGACACCTTGCATGGTAGGAAGTGGTGGCAAGACATTTCAATTTACTGTTCATATTATGTATCTCATATGCATGGTGACTAGGATATTGTGCTCTAAAATCAAGCAAAGCACTGACGTGCTTGGTACACAATATGCCATTTTAATTAATTTCATTAGAAAAAAGGTACTTCAGAAAACTAACATTTTTTTAATTGAAAGTATGCCCAGCAGGATGCCATTTTAGGTTTAACCATTTTTAATGGAAATCCTCCTACAATGTATTACATAATTCTTTCTTAAACAGAATATTTCAACATGATGATTATCTTAATGACAGCTGGAATTTAACAAGCACATACTAAGTGCCAAATACTGTGGCTATTACATATTGTTTATGACTGCCATCTGCTTGCGTGCTATAGGGTTACAATTATTAGCAGCAAAGTATGGTATTTTGGTGATAATACAGTGATCTCTTCAGGATGTCCTAGATTGACACGGCTGCTTTCAAGTGCATTAAATGGTAAAATACTCTTCCCTTGTTAACATTTTTTCTGCCAACCTTTTACATAGTTTTTATACTATGTATAAAAAGTACAGTGAATTATATATACATTTCAACAAATACTTACATACTTATTTCTTAATAAATCACTCCAGAATCATTTTTGGTTCTCTTAGGATGAGAGTTTGGAAAAATTTATTCTTTTACATAAATCAATAGTTCTTACACTGCCTTTATTTCGGAGTAACCGGCCCTCTTGACTAGTTTCCTCCAGAAGGGTTTTCTGAAGAGTTACCAGTTGCTTAAATGATTGTCTATCTTCTTTACTAGGCTCCTTAGAATAATCTTTACCTTCAAATAAGTACATATGGTTTTCTAAGAACATAAAACACAAAAGAGAAATGTTAGATACTAAAGAAAAATGGATTAATTCTATTCAAAGCAATAACCAGGGCAAACAGCCTGTATTCCACATGGGCTAAGACTATCTTGTGAAGAAGGTGTTGCATTTCTGATCCCACTGACACTGATGGGTTTGGGATCCACATGGGGATCTCACACATTTACTTTTCAAAGGACAGAGCACGGCTAAAGCCTTTTCGGTCCCTCTCTAAACCGTCTGGGAGTCTCTGCTGGATATTCCACCCTGTGGAGTCTTGGATCACTCATTCATTGCACACTATCCCTCAGTATAAATCTCACTGACAGTAAGATCACCTAGTTAAAGGTAACTGAGAACATACTTCTTTATTCCAAACACACTTTTAATACTCAACTCTTTCCCTGCTTCTCTGTAATATTAAAGGAACAAGCGGCAAATCTGAGAAAATGAGAATCACAAAAATAATCCCTTAGATTTACAATATTTTTTACAGATCTCATGAAGCATCTTCATGAGCCTCACCACAATCCTAATATAACTAAGCCCACTTAAGAAAGAGAAAACTGAGGCTCAAACAGGGATTAAGGGACTCTCCAATGCTCACGAGTAATAAATGAAGAAGGCAGGATTTTCTGACTTTAAGGCCCGTGTGCTCTTTTCAGTATATTACTGTATATAGAAGGAGGGAGAGATAACAGGCCAGCAAATAATGATTACAGTAATGACAATAGTGTAACCTTGTAAAGCATTTTCTGCTATTAGAGTACTTTCAAGTCTATTATCACATTTGATTTTTGCAACTATTTAAAAAGCAAAGCAGACAATAACAGCACCATTTTACAGATGAGGACACAAAGGCTCAAAAAAGTTGAGTGATCTGCCAAGATCATGAATCACTGCTAAAGAGAAACCGTGACAAGCTGATACTAGCAAGCACAGAGAGGTGAGAGAACGATTCTGAAGTGAAGCATATTTAATAGCAGGTTAACAAAAAATATATTTTCACAACATTATGAGATCAGCTATAAGTATGTTTTCTCTAGAGAGAACGAAAGCAAACATTTTCATTCTCAAGAGATCAACTGCTTCACACTTGTACCCAAATCCAACCAGCTGTAATTCTAATTAGCATTTGCTAATTAAATCAGCAGGGGGCTTTCAATGACGTGTTCTATCAACAAGTGGAAAAAAATAAAGAACCGAGAAGTGTCAAATATGATCAACATATGTAGCTTCATATTGCATGCAATCCTCAACTTACAAACATAAAGAAACCCTTGCATTCAAGATAAAGCAACCCTGTTTTTTATTTAATTTTGATTGGGGCTACTTTAATTACCAGTCTTTCACATTTACTTATACTCTTTTTAATTGTGCTCCCTGTCATCACTCTGCAGTCAAGGGGAGGTTGGAGACCACACACCTAGACCCTCATCTACATCCCACCAGAGGTACCATCTACCACAGAGTGAACATAGGTTCTCACGGATCAAAGACAAAATTCCAAGTTTTAATACAACTGGAAAATCTCTTCCGGCAGCTGGACTGCCTGAAAAAATATATTTCTCAGTTAGTCAAACTGCCAAAAAAATTCTAATTATCTTTCTGGAAAACAGTGAAATTTTTTTCTAGTAAATGCTACAAAAATAGGCTGAAGTTAATTTAGATGAGTGCTGAAATGGGTGCAAGCTTCAGCATTTACTGTAATCAAAGTGTCACCACTAAATGGTAATACAGGGATTTTAAAAAGATATATGAGGGTCCAGCCCTGTGGCCAAGTGGTTAAATTTCCATGCGCTCCACTTCGGCAGCCTGGGTTTGCTGGTTTGGATCCCAGGTGCAGACCTACTCCACTCCTCAGCCTTGTTGTGGAAGCATCCCACATACAAAGTCGAGGAAGATTAGCACAGATGTTATAGCTCAGGGCTAATCCTCCTCAAGTGGAAAGAAGAGGAGGATTGGCAACAGATGTCAGCTCAGGGAGGATCTTCCTCACACACACACACACACACAAAAATGATATAGGAGGCAACAGTGGATGAAAAGTTCAACACTTTAGAAAATGGAAAGTGGCTGGACTAATGATAACAGATTAAGAACAGTGGAAGCAAAACACAGGTGCCTAGTCAAAGGGTGATTATGAGAATAGAGACTCTAAAATCCTCCAAAAGCTTAGGACTTACAAGGACAAGGTACCACACAGTGGGGGAACTGAGAGAAATTCTGCACACCAAATAACGGGAGTGCCATGAACACCTGACTCATGTTGTCTCTTCAATTTAGGCAAACAGGGTTATTCCAACCCCTACCCTACTTCTGCCAAGAATGATATTAAAGGATTCATCTCTGGAGAAACTGAGTGGCCCAGTAAAAAGACTTCAAATATACAGACATCTGGGAAGACCCGCTCAATGTGAAAGCCAGCTCACCAACCAGCAACGCTGCAATAAGGACCAAGAGCCCACGTACCTGCTCAGGACAAGCAGCCCATCAGCTTTGGCACATCACTGGCACACATGAACAGACAGCCAGAGGACACAAAATAGTCCAGGAAAACTACCAACAAGAACAAGAGATTCTAAAACAAATCTGGAAAAAGGAAGAAGCAGCAGCAATAGGAGGAAAGAGAGTCAACACCAGGAACACAGGAATACTTTTTAAAAAGATATAATAAATATCCACCCTGGAATACTTTTTAAAAGCTATAAAAATATGCTCAGAAAGGACATTATATCCCTGAAATGAGGACAGGATACAATTAAAAAGCAGAAAACAAGAAAGAGTACTGGAATAATAAACACAGGATACTAATATTAAAAAATCTAAAATACGAGAAAAGCCAAAGAACAGTGTCCTGTAGAATAATGCCAGGTGCCTAAATTCCAAACTTTTTGCATATTCTGTAAAAACTATACAGATCAACAAGGATAACAATTCCAACATCATCAATTTGGTTCACAGACAAGGATGCCCTCTGTTACCACTCTTCTTTAGCATAGTGTTGGAAGTCCTAGCCAGAGCAATCAGGCAAGAAAAAGATAAAAGGGATCCAAATTGGAAAAGAAGAAGTGAAACTGTCTATTTGCAGATGACATGATTTTATATATATAGAAAACCCTAAAGAATCTACTAAAAAACTTTTAGAAATAATAAATGAATGCAGTCAAGTTGCAGGATACAAAATCAACATACAAAAAAGAGGTTGCGTTTCTATATACTAACAATGAAGTAGCAGAAAGAGAAATTAAGAATACAATCCCACTTACAACTGCCAAGAAAAAGAATAAAATACCTAGGAATAAACTTAACCAAGGAGGCAAAAGATCTGTTCACCGAAAACTATAAAACATTGTTGAAAGAAACTGAAGAAGACACAAAGAAACGGAAAGATATTCTGTGCTCTTGGATTGGAAGAATCAACGTAGTGAAAATGTCCATACTTCCTAAAGCAATCTATAGAGTCAATGCAATCCCTATCAAAGTTCCAACAACGTTTTTCACAGAAATAGAACAAAGAATCCTAAAATTTATATGGAACAACAAAAGACCCCGAATAGCCAAAGGAATCCTGAGGAAAAAACAAAGCTGGAGGTATCACACTCCTTGATTTCAAAATATACTACAAAGCCATAGTAACCAAAACAGCATGGTACTGGCACAAAAACAGATGCATAGATCAATGGAACAGAATCGAGAGCCCGGAAATAAACCCACACATATATGGACAGCTAATTTTCGACAAGGGAGCCAAGTCTTCAATAAGCGTTGCTGAGAAAACTCGACAGCCACATTCAAAAGAATGAAAGTAGACCATCATCTTACACTGTGCACAAAAATCAACTCAAAATGGGTTAAAGACTTGAATGTAAGACCTGACACCATGAAACGCAGCAAGCTCTCTGACATCGGTCTTAGCAGCATATTTTCAAGTACCATGTCTGACCGGGCAAGGGAAACAAAATAAAAAATAAGCAAATGGGACTACATCAAACGAAAAAGCTTCTGCACAGCAAAGGAAACCATCAACAAAACGAAAAGACAACCTAACAATTGGGAGAAGATATTTGCAAACCATCTATCAGATAAGGGGTTAATATCCAAAGCACACAAAGAACTCATATGTCTGAACAACACAAAAACCAACAACCCAATTAAAAAATGGGCAAAAGATCTGAATAGAGATTTCTCCAAAGAAGATATATGGATGGCCAACAGGTACATGAAAACATGTTCAACATCAATACTATCAGGGAAATGCAAATCAAAACTACAATGAGATATCACCTCACTCCAGTCAGAATGGCTATAATTAACAAGACAGGAAACAACAGGTGTTGGAGAGGACGCGTGGAGAAGGGAACCCTGGTACACTGCTGGTGGGAGTATAAACTGGTGCAGACACTATGGAAAACAGTATGGAGTTTCCTCAGAAAATTAAGAATAGAACTACCATATGATCCAGCCATTCCACTGCTGGGTATTTATCCAAAGAACTAGAAACACAAATGCATAAAGATACATACACCCCTATGTTCATTACAGCAATATTCACAATAACCAAGACTTGGAAGCAACCTAGGTGCCCATAAGGGACAAATGGATAAAGAAGATGTGGTATACATACACAATAGAATACTACTCAGCCACAAGAAAGGACAAAATCCACCCATTTGTGACAATATGGATGGACCTTGAGGGTATTATGCTAAGTGAAATAAATCAGAGGGAGAAAGTCAAATACCATATGATCTCACTCATAAGTATAAGATAAAAACAACAAACAAACACATAGCAAGAGAGATTGGATTGATGGTTAGGGGAAGGAGGGAGGAAAGAGGGGGAAAGCGGTGTTTCGGCACATATGTGTGGTGATGGATTAATTAGTCTTTGGGTGTGAACATGATGTAATCTACACAGTTCGAAATATATTATGATGTACATCTAAAAGTTATATAACGTTATAATCCAATGTTACTGCCATAAAAACAAAAATAAAAATTAAAAAAAAAAGAAAGAAAAACAAATTTGGTACAAAGTTCAGCTACAAGGGAAATGTCAGACGATTTCCAGTCAGTCTAGGAAGAGTTCTTGGACCAAGTAAGTCTTAACTAAACAGTGTGCCCAAATGAGAATAGGGCTGGGTAGGAAAAAGATGTCCCAGGCAACAGTATCCAAGACCTTCCGTGGGGACCTGTCTCACTGATGTTTTAGCTTGGGGCGGCTATGCCATTTGCTCTACTCTTATTCTCAACTTACTTCCTTCCTCTTGTTCTCTGCTTCCTTCTTCTGCTGTAGGCAAGGCATCAGAGACCCACTGACCATCTTTTGTTTCTCCCAGGATAGACTCCAGGTCTATATCATCCATGGTGCTCCCCTCAGAGGACAGCAGTTTATCCAAACCAAATTTGAGTATCTCACTCAACTTGATTGGAGAAAACAAAAGTCCAGTTAGTTCTCATGAAATCAAACATTGGAATATCAGTGATTTGCTAGGTAATGACACCAGGCACATTTGTTCCCTGATGGTCAGGTTTTCTTCTCTCTCCACGGCAGATGATACCAACAGGGCCGTTTAGTAGTTGGATAATGGGTAAACAGAGAGGTGATAAATATTGATCAGAGACGTTGACTTTGGTAACTCTCATTAACAAAAAAATTTATTAGCCTCCAACTTTTTTTGAAGTTTAACAGTAATTTCTTACATTATCTATAGCATTTCTCACAGTCTTTTTCATAGGCATTCCCAGAGGCCACATGAGAAGTCAGAGACCCAGTCAGCTACTCTCTCACCTCTCCTACTGCCAAACTTCTTGGAAAGGGAAGGCTACACAGGGTGCTTCACCTCCACCATTAACTGACTTCTATCCTTTGGCAATTTGGTTGCCTACCACAGTGCTCTATGGAAATCACCTTTGCAAAGACCAGTAACAACTCCTGATCGCTAGACCTGAAGGCCATTTCTCAATTCTACTCCTCCTGGATATTTCTCCGGCAGTGCCCTGTCCTATTTCTCTTCCCTTCTCTCTCTCCAATCCTTAGCCTGTTCCTGAGGCCTGTAGGAACCATCCAGAAAGTTCAGATCATTTTCCTGGCTTTAGTTTCCTACTTCCAACTTTGCACCTCCCTGAGCACTAACCCTGAGATTCTGAACCAAGCTGGATTCACATCTCGGCTCCTGATTCATATCTTGTCCTTTTAGGCTGGGTCAATTATCGCTAGATGGTCTACTTTGTGAGCCAAATACTAGGGAGAACATAGCCCACTGGCTGTTTGAGAGGGCTCTGTTGGACTTCTTGCTCAGCTCAAGGTTACTGGAAGGTTACATTCTGGCTATGATATCTGACTTATCTATTCCCCATCCAGACTATAGGAGTTATCTCTTTGGTTGCCAAAAACAAGGGTAACAACCCAAAGCCCTTGTCTCAGAAGAAAGCAGTTTGTTTGGTTCTATTTGTAAGATAAAAAGAATCCAGTAATGAAAGACGTGGTTACGGTTTGGTAAATCTCAGAGGTATAGGATCCTGAAAGAGAGAAGCAGGTTCATTATCCTGCAGGGAGAACACAGTTGAAACAGGGAGAAGCAGACGCAGATGCAGGGAACATTTACGGAATGTTTACTGTGTGTTTTGTTATCTGAAGGCTTCTTTCCAATTTTTTGGTGAATCTGATCCCTGGGGCAAAGTGGAAGAACCTGGGGTATGTTATAATTTGGGTTCTAATTTTAACCCAAAGGCCCTATAGAATACCCTAATCACCTCTTCCAGAAGAGAGCTTTCTCGGAAGTCTTCCAAGCCAGCCTTTGTTTCCTACCCAATATTCCCTTCTTCAAGCAATTAACTCTAGATCTTTCAACCATTTTTCCTATGGCATAATTTTGAATTCCTGATCTCATTCACTCTCCTCTGAGTATGAAGATCACAGGTCAAAGGATCTGGGGTTAAGGTGGAGGTACGGGATTAATCATCATTTATTATGCTGAGTTCTTTATTTTATCTAATTCTTTTAACGGTCCTCTGAGGTAACTTGTGGTATCCTCATTTTTAGAAAAGCAAACAGAGAGTGGGTCTGAGAGGTTAAGATACCTGCTCAAAGCTACACCGTCAAAAAGTGAAAAAGCGTGGATTTGAATTCAAGCCAGAGGGATCCAAAGCTCACTCTTGTTATTCTATATTCTGTTGCTTTTTTGTATCCTAATCACTTTTAACCCCTTGCTTTCATGCAGTAGGTCCTATGGCAGGTATATCTGGCAAGGGAACAAATGTGTAGCTGGGGAGAGTGGGTGGCTAATGCTGGTTCTTTTTATTTACTTTCTAATCAACAGAGAGCATAGACTATAAATCATGACATATTCTAAAGTGAAGAACAACCACATTACCTGCAGGTCCGCGTCAGCTGCGGGTTTCTGGGCACCCAGAGTGAAATGGCCTCCTTCTATGATCGTGTTGGTGAGCTGCAGTTTTGAGGCTGCTTTCCTGCAGACTATTTCTTCCACGGTGTCTCGGCCAATCAGCCGAATGACTTTCACAGACCTGTACAGAGGTCAAAGGAAGAGTGGTGTGCTATAAGGTCTGCAAAGATGGGCACAAGCATGCAAGGCTGCTATACCTAAAAGGACACAAACCCGAAAATGCCACGTTCAGGTACCACTAAAGGGAGATTGTAGTATGTGGACCTGCGCATTTGTCAGAGGGGTCTGGCTCAACTTCTCACTGAACCTTTCCAAAAGTCAAGGAAGGGATGATGAAGTGCCCATAATTGAAATTCTTCTCTGTGGCAGAGGAAAGTCTCAGGAAGATCTAACCTATCCTCAGGTCTAAGAGTTAAGACCTATCTTTTTAGCTTAGCTCCATAACCACATAACTATTTTCTAACTGAATTAGACCTTAACTCAGGAAGAATAAGTTAAATAACATCTGAAGCTTCCTTCCAATCCTTTCACAATCTGATTTTCTTCTTTTTAACACAGCAAGTCTGAAATGAGAATGTGCCCTGCTCAGCACTACTCTAGGAGTCAGCAGCAAAGCTGGGCTAAAACCTAGTGGTCTCTCGCCCTCCAGTTCAGGACCGTCACCAGGACCACATTCTTCACCTTCCTCCCCAACCCAGAAGCGCTGAGGAGCCAAGGAAGTGGAATAGTGCTGATGCTTAAATCTCTCACTTGTTCTGGCCAATTCGGTGAGCCCTGGCAGCTGCTTGCAAGTCATTCTGAGGATTGAAATCACTGTCAACAAAAATAACGGTATCTGCTGCCGTTAAGTTCATGCCAACTCCACCTGAAAACAAGGCAAAAAGGAGTGTGATAAGCAGCACCTGGACTAGGGACTAGAAAACATAGACGCAAGGTTATGGTGGTCAGATTGCTAACTGGTATCAGTCAAACAAGTGGCTTCGTCCTTCAAAGTGCTACCTGAGAAAATTTCACTACCGAGAGTAAGAACGAGGGGAGCAGGGGTATGTAGCAAAAGCGGAAACTTAAGTTAGTGCCAGGAAGCCATTTTAAATCTCTTCTGTTTAAAAATCTTGACTGGATTTTGTTTAGAATAGTCTGTGGAAAAGCACACGTGCTCTTTCAGAAAACAGTTTTAAATATGAGAGAGGTCTTCTGCTGTGGACACTTGAGAGAAGAGCTCTTAACATGCACTGCAAGTTACAAATAGGCAGCAAGATCCTTGACACACATTAATGAGATGAGGAGATGCCATTCATTACTCTCCGAAGCAGAGCCGGAAACTACCTCCCTCTGATGGGAGAAAACTTTGTCTTTTCTGTACTTGTTGCCACATTAATCAAAGAGAAGGTAACAAAACCAAGCAGAGTACAAGAACACTCCATGGGATAACTTTCTGGTCTTTCTTCAGCGCTGCAGGAAAAGGGCTGAGGAGGCTCCCTGGACTATGGGAATTAATTAAGAGAACCATGAAGGCAAATTACAGCCTTCTCTTTGATTAATGTGGAAACAAGTACAAGACGACTCCCTCTTGCCAGGGTCGTTACAGCTCATTGAAGAAACAAGCAGGCCTGAAAGGGCTTGTTCCGAGAGCCCAAGTTAAAGACGAACTTTTGAAACTGGCTACTGACGCTAACCTGGATCTCAAGACAAGTCAGACGGGAATACTCTAATTAAAGTCTTCATATAAAATTAAAGCTGGAATAAAGAGATAATAAAGACTGATTACTGAGAGATGCTAAATTACACCTTATAATAACGCCAGCTACTCTTGTGCTATGCTTACTACTTACCAGGCACTATTCAAAGCACTTTACATATATTAATTCCTTTAATCCTCACAACAGCTGTATGAGTAATTAGCATTATTATCCTTATTTTATAGATGTTGAATTGGAAGCACAGAGAAGTTAAGGGACTTATCAGAGGTTGCACAGCTAGAAGGAGCCAGGATTGAGTCCCATGGTCTGACTCCAGAGTCCATGTTTCTACTCTCTATACCATAACACCTCTCAGGCATTTATTTCATTAAAGTGTATTTCATAAAAATTATCTTCTTCTTGGGTTGCTGTTGTCTAAGTTCAGGCCTTCTTTAAGCAGTGATATTTTATAAATAAGCTACCTCCATGCTTGTTTGGGACATTCATGAGCTATCACTGCCACCTGGTGGCAACATGACAATCATAGAAATATTTGAAAGTTGAAGGGAAACCTGTTAAATAAATGATAATTTTTCAAATCTACAGCTAAAAAGTGATAGCAAACGTGACAACTGGTGTTTGGAAAAGGCTCATGTCCAGGACTGCTTCAGCTCCTGAAAGACTGCTCTGTTTTGACTGATTCTGAGTACTCCAAGGAGATTAGTTGGAAAGCAGAGATTCCTAATTTCAGATGTTTCAAACATAATGCTGCTCTCTGAATGTGAAGGTGATGAAATCAGTAAAGCATAAATAGAGCTGTTTTTCCAACACTAATGACGTGTTTCCCCTGATCCTTCCAGTTTCTCCTGGGACAACTGATGACATGAAAAAAATGGCTGTGATTCAGAGTACGGTCTATGATCTTAGAAGTGAGACCAAATGAATCTGACCATATCTCTGTAATACACAGATAAGACACACACAGCCAAAACGATCTCCTTATGGTCAAGGACTACATCTAACCCTTCTTTTATATACCCTTCGAGTACTAAGCACTTAAAAAATGCTTTCCAAATAATACTGAACTCTCTTTTTATAAAGATATTGATCTCTCTTTAATACAGGACACACATCCCTTTAGTGTTCCAGCATCTATTCCATCAAGATTTAGGTCCACAAAAAATAAGATAATGAAACTAAGATTCTATAAGTTCAAAACTAATTTAAGGTTGCTCCATGACATAAGAATAATTTCACCTCCAAGAACTGATTTCAAATTATTTAAGAGTATACGAAAGCACTCTGTAACTGGTAAAGAACTACAAACATCATATGATATTTACGACTTAAGTCATATATAGACAATGTCATAAATAATCATAAAAAGCTGGCAATTTCATTATAATCACTTTTTTTTGTTTTTAACTAGAGTTCTATTAAGCTTTTACAACACTATTCCCAAACTACTAGTGGAGGAAGGATAACCTAGCAGACAGGTTGTTATCTCATTTCCCAAATTCATGGTTGGGAAGGAGAGCTGCCTCCACTGAACGTGAATAAAACTTTTTACAAAACTCTAGAAATCTTTCAGGACAATCCTAGGTCAAAGTTCAACGCAGATTAGAATTACTCTCCCAAAACCCCAGGTTTCAGCCTTACTTCTTTGATGAGATGACAACTTAAGATAAGTTGGACAGAAAAGACTACCACATTAGAAGTCCAGTACCTTGATAAACTTGCGTCAACTACCTCAATTCCCCATTTTTATACTCCCCAGTATGACCTCACCTTTCAGAGAATTAAGGAAAAACACACTAACGGTTGAGAGGTAAAAAAGTACTGCATCACCCCTTATTTGTCTGTTTTTGTCAAGTGTCCACATGGCCTACCTGCCCTAGTACTGAGGAGAAAAATAAAAATGGGCTTCTGTCCAAAGTTCTTAATGGCCAGGTGTCTCTCTTCTCCTCTCACAGAACCATCCACACGCTCATAGCTGTAGCCTTCACAGAGGAAGAAAACAGGGAAATATTAACCCTTTTCAAGTACTCTTTGGAGAATAAGACATTGTCAGCTCAAAATCAAATGCTAATTTTGTCCCTTTTCATATACAGGCATGCTCCTAATTTAGGGAAATCTCATGGGAAAAATCTAAATTTACAGGACATTTCATTGTTTTACAAAAGACCTACCATCATCTACGCCTCTGGGTTTTTTAAGTACCTGCAGTTGATGTATTTGGCATTCATAGAGTCAATATTCAATTCTGACTAGCCCAAGCAACCCTGAAGTACACTATGGACCACACTGTATGGTAGTTTCCACTTTTGGAAACTTCCAGTTGCTAAGACACAATTCTTACGTATGCAAGCAGTAAGACAAGTACTTGGGAGCTAGTGAGGGAGCCTGTCGGATGGCCCAGCAGCACCTTTCAATGAAGCTTCAGGGTTTTCCACCCATCACCACAGACACATGTCCGAAAGGGGAATTATATGCTGAAGCCATGTTCGTGAATCTGCAGATTCCTCAATATGCCAGTGGTATTTCCTGCAAGTGTCCAATGGAACAGGCACACTGTAGTACTTGAGGGGCATCAAGTGATTCTGAGAGACCCACTCTGGATTCATTTTTTAAACAGTAAGTTCTGGAGCTCATACCTCTTCACCACTGATCTCAGCGTCAACCAATGTCACAGCCTTTTCCCATCACCCCAAATAAATCTTACTAAACATTAAACAGAGTGCCCAGGTAATAGCTTAGACTCAATATAGTCTATATAGAAAAAATTTCCTTTGCTTTTCTCTTGGTTGATATGTGATATTTCTCTAATTTCAATGTTCACCTTTTCAACTGATCCTGAACAAGTACTCAACAGTTGAGCTAAATGTTGCAAGACACTGAAAGCTCTTGTCACTGAAACTCTGTTTACTATACGTTTTCAAACATTCAACATTTCTGCAGCACACATTTTCTCCAGAATCCATAATTTTAAATGAATCACTGATGAGAATGTGTGTGCCTATTTCTGCCCATGTGTCTCTATCCTGCTGTCACCCTTGCGTCACACACCTCTCTCGTTACTTTCATTCTTTTTTTGGTTCTGAATAATGTTCTTTCACTGCTTTCCTCTGTAACATCCCCCACATCTCAGATTACTCTCCATGGACCTACTGAACTGTTAAGTCTAAAAAACGCTTGGGCAATATAGTGACCAAGGGATGTCACCTCTATAATCCATATAGTCTTGGAGAATATCCAACATCTGGGTCATTTGGGAGAAAAGTAGAACTCGATGGCTCCTGGCAAGAAAAAGAAAAGGAAAAACTGCCAACGCCAGGAGTATTTCAGGTGAATTTCCCTCAGGTGAAACTTACCAACGAATACAAGTTTATAAGTAAATGAAATACAAAACAGAAATATAAATATCATAACACTTGTGAAGACTTCCTCAGAAATGCTAAATGCTTTATATAAGGATATATAGCCATATACATCCTAGCACATGTAGCTGTACCCTTCAGAGCAGTAGTTCTCAAACTTGAGTGGGGGTATTCCTAGGAGCAGGTGTCACTGCATCAGTGGGTACAGAAAGCCCTAGGATAACCAAGGTACCTCTTTCTGGAATATCAATTTACTAAATAAAAAGAAATACACACTTTTATTTTAACAGCAAAATAAACAAAGATATGTGAAGAATAAAATGCAAAATTCAAACACACAAAAAAACCGAAAACTGGAAACCCTGAAGAGCTTGTAGTTAGCCATCTACAGCTGTTCTGTGTTGGGGGTGTAACGTCATTATCCTCTTGTTGACAGCTATATTGGTTGAAAAGTCTGAGAAGCATCACTTTAGAGAAGCAAGGGGCAGGTGGCATACCATATACCATAGGATGCATGAGAAAACTTATGTATAGGGAGAGGAGAGAAGAAAGGTGGAGGCAAAACGGATTAAGTCAAGAATAAAGTCAAGCTTAGAGCCCCATGTTATCAGTCATTATTTTAAGTTTCCACAAACAAAGAAGTATGGCACTGTCAAAACAATACTCTCCTTAGGAAAACTAATTTAATCTGAGCTTGCAATGGGCGTAAGAGGAAAAATTATGAAGAACTCCTTCAAGACTCTAATCCCAAAAGGGTGGAAAAGGCATTGAACTGGAAGTTGAGGACCTCAATTCTAATCCTATCTCTGTCATTTGCTGCCTGTGTGACTTCTAGACAAGTCACATGACCTCTCTGGGCCTGTTTCATCACCTGTGAAATGAAAAGGTCAGACAGAAGATATTTATGGGTCCTTCTCCATTTCTAACACACTTATAGCAGATTTATCAGAACCAATAAAATATAGGAAGACATGCAATTATTTGACTTGCACATTTCTAATGTTGGGCGGTTTTGCCAAATAAGAGGGTTTGGGTTGGTTAAGGTGCTCTTGGGGCAGTTGTCCCAAAGGGGCAACTTTGAAGTCCTTGGGAAGCTGAGCTTTGTCTAGAATCCTCTTTCCCTCTGGGGACTAAGAGGATCAGGTACAGGTGGGACACCAGGTCGCTGAATGCATAGCTGAAACTTTAGAGTCTCCAGAAGTGACCTGGTCTTCTGATGCCCAACTCAGCCTCTGGGAAAGAGTCCCCCAGGTCTCCCTGAGTGCAATCAAACCCCACAGATTAACAAAAGTGAATATTTACTAAGCCCTCATTATGTGCCAATTCAATGCAAGGTACCAGCAGGCAATCAAAAAATAAATGCTTGATGTTATCTGTGGTCCTTATGGAACTAAACAATATAGCTGGAGTGTTACAGTTAACACACACCAATTAACCAGAGAGCAGATTAAGGTCGTGCGTTGCCAAGTGCTGGATTAGGATCCCAAGTGCTGCAGGAACTCAGGAAAGTAAAGAAAGATTATAGAGGAGCTCAGGTAGGGTAGGATAGAATGGGGTGGAGAGTGTAGTTGCAGAGGCAGAACCTGAACCAGGGTCTTGAGAAAAGGAAAACTGAAATTAGTCTCAAGAAATCAATAAGTTGCTCATTATTCTGGTTCTAATAGTCACCAACTCAAGAGCAGAAAATGTAAACCTACCACCTACCTGGAATACAGGAATGCCAGCAGCTTATCCAGCAGGTGAAGTTTCCCGCTGGCCTCAATCAGGTGGTCTCCAATTTCAAAAGGCTCTGGTTCCACACCTGGAAAAGAAAGAACCCAGTCCCAACAAGATGTCCCCAGTCAAGGTAGGCTCCCTGAATGGAGAAGCCAATGGCTTGGTTACAGAAAGAGGCCAAGTTCCTAACTGATAATGGGCCCAAGTTTCATCCCTCTTTGAGGCATTTTATAATTATTTGTTTTCAGGATGATCTCAGTGCTGCTTCACATCAATCACAGAGCCTGGCACACTCAATATGCCTAGTAAATGCTTATCCAAGGGACAAACTCACTCTTTAGGAAACTGAGGTACAGGAAGATGCTAAAGGCCAAAGAAAACCAAAATTGAAATCTTGAGGCTCTCACTCCAGAAAACAAATCAAGAAATAGACTTAGATGTATAAACTAGTAATTATCAAGGAATAAGCTGGCAGTTAGAACAACCTGGAGAGTTTCTTCCAAAATCCACGTTTCCAACACACTGCTTCCTGAAAAAAAAGGATCTAGAGGAGTGATGTCAGCATCATGGTGGAGGGAGCTCTTCCCTTAGACTCTCCCCACTAAGACACAATGAAAATGACATTCATAAACCAACAGAGGACATACATAACACAATAGATGTCTGAGAGATCCAGGCAGCCATATGTCTGAAGGTGGAAGTGCTGGAACCTGCAGGAGGTAGTGGAAGGAGGTAAGGGGATCTCCTCTCCCTCCCCAAATGGCACTGATCTAAGGTGTGGGACCACGTGCAGCTCTGCGAGGAGAGTGGGGAAAGGGCAGCCCTCAGAGGGAATGCCTTCATTCTTGGAGCCACCTCCCAGCCCATGGGAAAGCTCCACACCAAGGAGGATAAGCAATTGCAGGAGCGTCTTCAACAAGCCGGGCAGCCCAGGAAGGCAGACAGTGAGTGTAGAGTGGGAGTGCCAGTGGGATCATGTAAGTGAAAGAAAGTGCCCCTCCCTCCCCCTACGCGGCACACCAGCTCGGCCAGTCGGCCAGAGCAAGGGACCCCTGCCAGAGCACCTGTATGCATATGTGTGTAAAGCAGCAGTGGCCAGTGGGCAAATGCAGATTGGCCCTGTCAGCACACCTTCCAAAGGACAGGTACAGCTGCCAGGGATCACGGTGGGCTCAGAATATGCAGCTCCTGCTCCCCACCCCAGCGGCGGCAGGTGAAATCTGGCAAGGAGATACTACCACTATGCGATGGCAAAAATCCACGCCATCAAATAGTATGAAGAGACATATTAACACTCCAGACCAGAAGAAAAATGACAAGCACCCAGAAATCAATCCTGAAGGCGCAGCAATTTACAATCAATATGACAGAAAATTCAAAATAGCTACCATAAAAAAAATCAACGAATTACTAGAGAACTCAGAAAGACAGTTCAATGAAGTCAGGAATAAAATACTGATCAGAGGGAATTCTTAACAAAAGAGACTGAAACTATAAAAAAAAATCCAATCAGAAATGCCGGAGATGAAAAAAACAATGAATGATATAAAGACAAATTTGGTGTCCTTAAATAACAGAGCTGATACCGTGGGAGACAACATTAGCAATTTAGAAGAGAGAAATATAGAAATGCTTCCGGTGGAGGAGGAGAGAAAACTAAGACTAAAGAAAAAATGAAGCAATGGTCCGGGAAGTATCCAACTCAATTAGGAAATGCAACACAAGGATTATAGTGTTCCAGAGGGAGAAGAGAGGGAAAACAGAGCAGAGAGCTTGTTCAAAGAAATGATAACTGAGAACTTCCTAAACCTGGGGAAGGAGCTGGAATCACAAAGAAATGAAGCTAATAGAACGCCTAACTACATCAATGTAAAAAGACCTCTCCAAGGCATATATTAGCAAAACTGGCAAAAGTCAATGACAAAGAAAAAATATTAAGGGCAGCAAGGCAGAAGAAAATAACCTGCAAAGGAATTCCATCAGGCTTTCAGCAGATTTCTTAGCAGAAACATTACAGGCTAGGAGATAGTGGAACGAGACATTCAAAATTCTGAAAGACAAAAACTTCCAACTAAGAATACTCTATCCAGCAAAAATATCCTTCAGATAACACGGAGAAATAAAAACTTTCCCAGATAAACAAAAGCTGAGGGAGTTGATTGCTACAAGAACCCCCAAAGAGGAAACGATGAAAAAGGCCCACACACCTGAAAAAAAAGAGTTTACAAAGCCTTGAGCAAAGAGATACATAGGCAGACAAAATCAGAAAATTGCAGTTCTCTACCGGAACAGGTTAGCAAACACTTAATTATAACGTTAGCGATAAAGGGAAAGAAAACATCAAAAATAACGATAAGCACTTCCTTTTAACCACAAACTTACAACACAAAATGGAGTAAGTTGTGACAAGAAGAACTTACATGAGGAAGAAAGAGGAAAGGAATGGAAACTGCTTACACTAAGGAAATAAGAGAGTATCAGAAAATGGGTATCTCATCTACGAGATCTTTTATATAAACCTCATGGTAACCACTAAAAAAAATCAGAACAGAGACACAAATGATAAAGAGAAAACTGAGAAAACCATCACAGAGAAACACCAAACTGAACTGGCAGTCAGAAATACATGAGACCAAAAACAAGGGAAATACAGAACAACTGGAAAATAAGTGATAAAATGGCAGCATTAAGCCCTCATATATCAATAATCACTCTAAATGTAAATGGATTGAATTCTCCAATCAAAAGACACAGAGCAACTGGATGCATTAAAAAACAAGACCCAATAATATGCTGCCTCCAAGAAATACACCTCAGCTCTAAAGACAAACACAGGCTCAGAGTGAATGGATGGAAAACAATACTCCAAGGTAATGGCAAACAAAAGAAAGCAGGTGTTGCCATACTTATATCAGACAAAGCAGACTTCAAGATAAAAGGCAATGAGAGACAAGGAAGGGCAGTATATAATGATAAAAAGGACACTCCACCAGGAGGACATAACATTTATGAATATATATACACCTAACACAGGAGCACCAAAGTACATAAAGCAACTAGTAACAGACCTAAAATGAGATATTAACAGCAACACAATAATAGTAGGGGACCTTAACACCCCACTTACATCAACAGATAGATCATCCAGACAGAAAGTCAACAAGGAAATAGTGGAATTAAATGAAAAACTAGACCAGATGGACTTAGTAGGTATATATATAGAACACTCCATCCAAAAACAGCAGAATACACATTTTTCTCAAGTGCACATGGAACATCCTCAAAGATTATATCAATCTTATACCTATTAGAATGGCTATAATTACCAAGACAAAAAACAACAAATGTTGGAGAGGATGTAACGAAAAGGGAACCCTCATATACTGCTGGTGGGAATGCAAACTGGTGTAGCCACTATGGAAAACAGTAGGGAGATTTCTCAAAAAATTAAAAATAGAAATACTATATGACCCAGGTATCTCATTACTGGGTATTTAGCCAAAGATCTTGAAATCAACAACTCAAAGAGACTTATGTACCCCTATGTTCATTGCAGCATTATTCACAATAGCCAAGACAGGGAAGCAATCTAAGTGCCCCCTGACTGATGAATGGATAAAGAAGATGTGGTATATATATATATATACACAACGGAATACTACTCAGCCATAAGAAAAGACAAAATCATCCCATTTGCAACAACATGGATTGACCTAGAGGATATTATGTTAAGCGAAATAAGTAGACATAGAAAGACAAACACCATACAATTTTACTCATATGTGGAAGATAAACAAACACATGGACAAAGAACAAACTAGTGGTTACCAGAGAGAAAGGGGGTTGGGGGGTAGGCATAAGGGGTAAAGGGGCATATATATTGGTGACTGACAAATAATAATGTACAACTGAAATTTCACAATATTATAAACTATTATGACCTCAATAAGAAAAAAGTTCTTATATGCACCTAATTAAGATTCTGTGACATTTTCAAAAACAATTTATAGTGCTATTTGGCAAAGACTCCCTGAAAATGACTATGGCAAACCCTCTGCATTACTCCTACCCATACTAGGGCTCGCAGAGACACAGAAGTTCTAGAATTGTCCCAAAGGCTACCAGTCAGAGGGAATCAAAAAAATAGTTTGAATGAAAATGAAAACACTACATATCAAAATATGTAGAAGGCAGCTAAGACAGCAGTTGGAGGGAAAGTTATAGACACCTGTAAGATGAAGATAAAGCAGCAAAGGAGGCTGAGAAGGAGTCAGTGTAAGGCAGGTGGAGAAGCAAGAGAAAGAGCTGTCCCAGAAGCCAAAGGAAAAAAGTGTTTTAAGAAAGAAGTGGCCAACTGTGTCAAAGGATTTGAGAAGTTAATTAAAATATGAACTGACAACCACTGGTCGGGCAACATGGAGATGACTGGTGAACTAGGAATGGTGATGAAAGGTTGACTGAGTGGGTTCAAGATAAATGGACATCTAATCATAGACAAACGATCTAATAAATCCAGATTATGAGATATCTCATAAAACAACTGGCCTTGATTCTTCAAGATTGTCAATTTTCATGAAAGATTAAAAAAAAGGCAAAAAGGAAAAAGCTGAGCAATGTTTCTAGATTATAGGAGAATAAAGAGACATAACACATGCAATGCAGGATCTGTGAGTGGATCTTGGGTTTAAAAAGAAAAAAAAAAAAACAAAGCCATAAGGGACATTAAGGGGACAACTGAAGAAATTTGAATATGAACAATACATTAGATAACATCAATATTAAAAAATTTACATAAGAAAATGGGAGGAAAATAGACAGTAAATATAGGCAATTCTTTTGAAGAAGTGTGCTATGATGCCGGCCACAGAAATGTTAGCGAAAAGTAACATGAGGAAAAAGGGCATCGCCTCACCATCAAACAAGTAAGGGTGATCCACACACTTTCGAAGCTGAGACAAGACATTCTGAAGTTTAACTTTCTTTGCTGTCTCATTTTCAAATGCATCTGAAATTTAAAAAAAGAAAAAGAGAGAGAGAGATGGACTTTTGAACAACAACAACAAAAATTCTAAGTTTCCATAAATAACCTTTCTCATTTCAGTAATATATCTTTCAAAGCTATATTAACCTCCCAAATTTCACTGAATTGCATTAAGAATTAATAGCACACTCATACAAAGTTTTCTTAACCATCACTTCGTTTTAAAGAAGCCTAACTATAAAATGGAACTCAGGAGTACTTTGTTACTCTTTCTCAAAATTCTAAATTTCCTTCTTTAATTGCTCTTGTGGAGCCAAAGGACAAAATAATGCAAATCGAGAAACGTTTCACTCCTTTCTCTCCCTTCCCACAACCTAATTCTTCCCAGTGAATTTGACTCAACAAAAAAGCTTTGCAGTGTGTACATATCTCACCAAGTGGGAAGACGAAAGGCATGACTGAGATGCCTAAAAGTGTTTCCTTAACTACAGGCAATAAAAATACCAGGTGGGTGGGAGGGATTCCACAAGTGCAAAAAACAATAAAGTCTGACTGATAGTAACAATATTCTGCCACAGTTTCAATGACTTGAACATTATTTAGAATACAAAATCCCATCCCGTATTCTTGCTATATAAAGCGAGTATGATTATGAAATATTTCCCTCCAGGAAAATCACATCCTCACTGAGTTTCTAAACAGACAAGTGCCCGCTGATTACCTAGGTCTTTCATCAAAATGGCCTTGTAATATTTCTTCTGCAATGCTGACATGCCATGGTATATCACTACTTCCGTCTTCTTGGGAAGCTCTGTAGCTACCTCAGCTTTCACTCGCCTCAGCAGAAATGGCTGCAAGAGCTGGTGTAGTTCACTTGCTGCACGAGAAAAAAAAACACACACACAACTGGTGTGGCACGAAAGCAAGACCAAGGCATTGAACTATTAGAGAACATACAGCAATTTATTTTCATTCTAATTTTCATGCCAATTCTGCATTCTAGGTCAGTATGTTAATTTGTCATAGTATTTCTTCCTCCATTAGGTTCTTCCCAACTCCTTCTAAAATCATTAATGGCTGTTAACTCAAGAACTAGGAACACTCAAAGAACTTCATTCTTACTAATCATCTCAGTTGCATGAGCTTTTCTGCTTCCAGGATACTTTTGCATTTAACCACTTGGACGAGCATAACAGCTTAGCAATGTAGGGCAAGTAAGTAATATTGCCCCCATTTTTACAGCTAAGTTAAGTGAGGCTCAGAGAAATTAGGCATATTATCTAAAGTCACATAGCTGGATGCTAATGTTGCTATTATTCAAACTTAATTCTTTTGACTTCAACTCCCTTGTTCCTTCCCCAGGTGCCAAGAACTTCAAAAACTAGCCTAAAGTGGAATTACACCCTGTGGAGGGTTGTGAGATACAGCAAATAAAAATACAAGAGCCCAGTTAAATTGGAATTTCAGATAAATAACGAATAATTTTTAATATGAGCATGTCCCTTGTAATATTTTATTGGGTGTTGGGAGCAATCAGAGCAGGTTCCCCAAGCCACCCTCAGCCTTTGGTGTGGGGAATTTTTGCTATGAGAAGCCCTCCAACTCATATTCACCTAGTACACACATACACAATAGCAGGCATGCCTATCATTTGCTCTGAATCATCATCTTGGGATAATATTACAGGATAGACAGATAGCTCTATGAGGCAGAGGGCCAAAGGTGTGAGAGGAAGAAGACTACAACTGCAGCTATATGAACGAGGAAGGCTTCCCCCTTTCATTCCACCACGAGTCCATCCCAGACTTTTGGTTTTGGTACAGTATTAAAAGAGACATCAGTGCTGTGAATGCTTTACAGCACCCACACACTTTTCTGCCTCAGGAAGTAGCAAAGTTAACAAAGTCCTTATAAAAATTACATGTGGGGGAAAAAAAGTCTGCAAATCAGCAGATACTTTCTGTTTCTTCCAAAAATGATCCAAATAAGCCCTATTGTAAAATCATGTAACAAACAAGAGAGTCACGAATAGCAGACAACTGGGAAGAACATGAGGGATCTAACATCACTGTATATTCTGTGTGGCTGTTTTTCTCCCTGGAAGGTGTCCTCTAGTTACTGACTCTTTCTTTTCTATCTATAACGACTATCTTTCATGCACTGTGGCAGTTTCTGGGCCCAGATCTCTTGGGCATGATTTATAGGAAGGGAACTTGCCTGACTCAGACTCTTTCTCAATATCCTGGTAACGCTGAACAAAATCTTCCACCTGCTCCTTGGAAAAGAGATCAGGCTCCACAAAACTCAGGAGAGAGTAGAGCTCTTGGAGGCTGTTCTGGATGGGAGTTCCGGTCAACAGGAGACTGAAGACTACTGAGAACTCAAATACATAAATAAGTAAAGTAAAAAACCCATAACACCTGCAAGCAAGACTGAGTTACTCATCACAACCCTGACCCACACAAAGAAAGGCATGATTTAACGGAATGACCACAGGCACGTGAAATCAGAAGGCTCACATTCAAGTTGTACACTACTTGTTTGATGTAGGAAATACACCTCTTCGGTTTCAACTATAAGGGGATAATAATCCTGCAAAGGAAATACCATTATAAGAATGTAAGTAAAATCACTTTGTGAACTCTGAAGTACTACAGGAGTATTCAATATGGTTACTGTTATTCAATCTATGTGGGGATTCAAGGTATGTGTCATAACCTATGTGAGGGAGTCTACTGGGGCGTCAGAGGCACACAGCAGATACTTATGCAGTTTGAGAAGCCCGAAGCTAAAGCATCAGGCCCCATCACTATAAGCAAGAAGCAAGAAGACCTGTACTAAAAGAATATCCTTTCATAAAACTTTACAGTGCATCACATGCAAGACTTCAAGATTTCTGGATGTTTCTTGGCCATATACAGCCCCAAAGGGAAAGGAATTCTTTAAATTTTGAGCAACAGATGAGTGCTCCAAGAATAAGAAACTAATGAAGTAAAAGGTTAGGAAAAACAATAACAACAGATATTAGGTCAAGCAAAGGACAACTCTGAACTGACAGTAACAGGAACTTATACCATTTGAGTTAAATAATATAGCAAAAAGGGAAAGTCATATCCTGTATATGTATATTAAATATTAAAACAGTATGTGTATGTATGTATATGCACATATACATACATACACATACATACTGTATTTTGATATTTAAAATAATATATTTTGATTTTTTAAAATAATATATATGCATATTTATATGCTGGGTGTACATATACACAGCAAAGGACATGGCAGCATATATACCAAATGTTAATGTATGTAGGCGAGGAGGATTATTGGTGGTTTTTACTTTTCTTCTTCTGTTTCTATATTTCGATTTGAGGGAGTTATAAGAGCACATTACTTCTGAAAGAAGAAAAGGTAATAAACGAAATGACACAATCAATTAAAACTGATTTGAAAATCTTTTACGGCTTTTTTAGGCAATCTTCCTTTCTTGTTTGTTTCTTTTTAAAAGGTTTAATCCATGTCCACCCATTCATGCCTGCTCTGCTTGCAGTGTGATGTTTCCATAGTGTTTCAAGTACAAGAACTGGTCAACAATAAATGTTTGCAATTTAACTCACATTTTTAACAGAATGTGTTCACCAAACAAAGAACTGAGGTGACCAAAGAAGACGAGATCACAAAGATAATCAAGGTTTTTGGTCACTACAATCAACTTCACATAAGTTATCATTTTTATTCAAAGCAGTGTCCATTTTGTCATCAAAACTTATAACCAGGTTAAAAAAAAATCCAGAAACAATTTATGTTTGTGTATAATATTTTTTAAACCTTTTTTGTATAAAATATTGTGCAAACATTTCTCATATTATTAAATATTCTTCTGCATAATTTTTCAAGGCAGGCTTACTCTGTAAATGTACTGAACAGGTATAGCAAAAATTGTGTAACTACTTCCCTATGTTTCACTTTAGGTTGCTTCCAACTATTACAAACAAGCTGAACACAACATTAGGAAGGGAAAAAAAAGGCAGTTACCCTTCTCCCCACGTCTCTGCCCAATCACTAAATGTAAGTCTTTCTTCCTAACCAACTAGTTGTCTGCAATTCAAACCTCAACGACAACAGAATGCTTAGGTGATGTGGAAAATTTCCTCAGTCAATCCCTCTGAACCTTATGAATAACAAGAAAAGGCTCTGAGGCCATCAACAGAACTTAGTTTCCCCACTCCAGACCCAGGGCTCTTTTACTACACCTGCTCATCTCCTCGCACTGTAAACGAGGAAACTGGCATAACAGTTGATGAAGCAGTCTCTTCCAAGGTTAGGCACCAGCATATGACAACCTCTCGGGAAAGATACACTGTTAAGAGTCCCTACAAAGAAAGCAAAAGACACCACAGAGCAGAGGGGGCCCACCAGGGACAGCAATCTTTGAGACTGTGCTAATAATAGATGGTGACCATATCTACATTATAATGCTAAAAACTACAACTTTTAGCCTGTAAATATGGAATTCAGATCTAACACTTTCCTCTGAATTTATTAACTGACTTATTATAGGTCAACGATGGTCACAGAAATTTGCACACTTGGACTCATGAATAACAAGCCTAACTAGGTCAATAAGAAGTTTACTTCATATCTACAAGCTGTTCCACTGGTTCCTCGGAAGAGGGCAAATCTAGGGCTACAATGACGTTTCTCATTTTCTTTGGCAGAACAATGCCAGAGATCACGAGACGGGAGTGAGGTGAAGGGTGTCAAACCCAAAAGTAGGACAAAGATAAGACAGATTGGAGATAAAACCCAATGATGTGAAATCAGCCTCTTCTTGACTCTGTGAACTGTCGAATTTTTTAAATAGGTAAATGAGGGGAGGGGTACAATGTTAGATGTATCTGCCATTGCAGACAGAATTATAATAAAACTACTTCTTAAAGAAATTGCCCCTTTGAAGAAGGTAAGAGAGTTGAAACACATCCAAAAATACAATGTATTTTATTGGTATAGAGTCTTATTTATTTAATAACCAGATTTTAGTAAATGTTATCTCCTGTGTAAAAGACAAGAAGAAAAGAAGTTAGGCCATATACTTTCGTCATCTGCAAAATGTTCACTTGGCCCTGCAGAAATCTGACTGGAAAAAAGTTTCAACTAAATTGACTCTATACAGGCCTAAACTAATATTTTTTTAAAAGGAATTATATCACAACTAAGACTAGGGGCTGGCCCGGTGGCACAGCAGTTAAGTTCGCACGTTCCGCTTTGGTGGTCTAGGGTTCGCCAGTTTGGATGCTGGGTGTGGACCTAAGCATTGCTTGTCAAGCCATGCTGTAGCAGACGTCCCACATAGAAAGTACAGGAAAATGGGTATGGATGTTAGCTTTTGCTTCCTCAGCAAAAAGAGGGGGATTGGTGGCAGACGTTAGCTCAGGGCTGATCTCCCCTCCCCACAAAAAAACACAAAAAACTAAGACTATCCTGTGAGTTTACCTCTGAAAGTGTCTTATGCAGCAAGGAGCCTTGGTTTTTCAATCTGTGAGCTTCATCTACAACAAGAACACTCCAAGGGAAGCTGTGAGAGAAAAACCAAAACTTTCAGTTTTGTGTAACTCAACACATCTCACAACCAAAAAGTCTTACTATAAAACTGTGACTGACTGTTTTTGAGAAGACTAATATGAAGTCCATCCTATTAGAAACACATTCAAATTTCCTTCTTATCTGAGAGCCTACTACATACACAAGAGCATATCCAGATACAGTAGTAAAATTAAGGGAATTTTTTTCCCCAAGATGGGAAAGATATATACATTGAAGGCAGAAAGGAAGGAGCCAGAGACAGAAAGCAAAAAGAAACATTTATGATCACCTACTATGTGCCAGACACAGAGTGTGGGGCTTTATGTATATTATTTAATTCAAAAGAATATAGTGAGTAGACGTTATTGTGCTCATTTGACCAACAAGGAAACTAAAGCTCAGAAAGGTTAGGTGACTTGGTCAAGGTCACAAAGCCAGTATGAGGTAGAGGTGAGATTCAAACCTAGAAGAAAAATCAAGAGACAGTAGTATCACAGCGGCTGAAAAAAGTATGATTTTAAAATGAGGAAGTGGTGAACAGGACCAAATGTTGCAGATATCCAGGAAGGTACATCCATTGGATTTGTTAAAATGGAAGTCATTGGTAGCTGTTGTCAGAGCATATTTTGTAGCATAGGAGGCTACAACAACAATTTCTCAAGAAGTTTCATTCATAAAAGCATATCCTTTGACAATCCTGGGAAGCTGTTCCAAAAAAAATTTGAAATATGGAAAAATATGTATGTATGAATATGTTCCCAGCTGCATTATTTAAAATAGCAAAAAACTGAAAATAATAAGTTTGATAATAGGTGATGAAATATTACATAGCATTTTAAATGGTAAATTTGAATATGTTACAATAAAAAAAGGCCTATACAAAACTAAAAAAGATATAAATATTATATATCCTTTTTCACAAATATGAAAACCATGAAAGACACTGAAGTGTAAGTTAGAAGATTTTTAAGTTTTTATTGTTTGTAAACATTCTGTAATTCCATTATTTTTATACTTAAAAAAAACAATGTATATACAAGAAAGGCAGAATATTGGAAAGACAGTGGGTATGGAAATAAAAATCTCTCAAAAATTAAGAGAAAGATCTTAAGCAGAAGTTAGGCCTATAAGGAGGAAGCCCTCCTCTTCTGAGGCTACAAAGAAAATCCAGAAAATGGGTGCAGAAACAGATACCTTGTACCAGTGACGTTAAGAGTGGTACAGGTGGAGGGACACCTGGGCCCAAAGAGACTGTAGAAATTGGGACCATTCCTGCTGAGCGGCATGAGCAGGTGATGCATCTAAGGATTAGAAGGAATAAGGATACAGCTGAAGTTGGACGCTGGTCATGAGATAGGCTATGAAAGTGGCCAGAGTGTAGTGCCTGGTCCCTGCTTAGATTAGCATTCAAAGCAGACTAGGTCCTATTTCTTTCCAAAGAACTAGATATTTATAGGCTTTTACATACAGCGAGAATCCAATAAAAACTTCTTCAACGAAAAAGGCTACAGGGATGTGGATTTTGGCTCAGTGGAAGGAAGTAGGTTGATTCACTCAGCAAAGGACGTTCTAAAGGATGTTCCCTGAAAAGGTATTAATAGGTGTAGGCAATTCCAACATTGAATGGAGACTGGGACAAGGTAACTTCTAATCCTCTTGATGCAAAGATTTTATAAGTCTATTGTTTGTTAACAATATGAAAAATATGAAATTTTTTTGATATGTGCACAGTCTTAACTCTCCACAATAAACCTCTTTAGGGCAGAGATTATATTACATTTTCTAGCTGAGTGTGCAATACAGTAATACACAAAATAACCTTGCCAAATGTACTGAAAGAATACATTGTGTTCTTGGGATTCATACTATGAGTCAACATGATAAATGTCACCTTATTTAGGTTCTTACATTCACCTGTAATGGATTCCAGACAGATGATCTGATACAGAAAGACTGTATTTCTGCTCAACAATGCAAAACTCCACTGCACCCAGATACTTTGAGAAGCTCTCTTAAAAAGACGTTCCACAGCAGTGAGTGCTGGGTCTGGATGTCTGCTTTACCATTTACTAGCAATTTACCTTGGGATGGGTTTTAATCTCTTACTTTCCTCAACTATAAAATGGATGATAATAGTTGCCTAGTAGGGTTTTCATGAAGATCAAACACGATAATTTATGTAAATTAATGTCCCAATCTTCTTATCCTTTGAGACTTCCTAAATATTGTCTTGTAACATGGATATCTGTATACTTTTTATCCCTCTATTAGAGTTTCTGTCTTCTTAGAGTAGCTCTATGGGTTACCTCCCCGGTATTGCTGATACTCCCAGAACAATGCCTTTCCAAAGGAAAGATTTTCAACAAAGAGTAAGTTGGATGTTTATAATAAAAAAGAAAAAAAGAGGACACGTGTATCCTCTTCTCAAGAAAAGATAATATGTTCACTTAAGTGAAACAAAATACTAGATGGAAGTCATGAAATCTGACTGAGCCTTTAGCATTTCAAAATAAGACAAAAATAGGAATCCAACTCAGAAGAACCTGGATGAGAAATAACATTTAAAATACTAAAAAAGCACTTGGAAAACAAAAGTCTCTGAACATCAGAGATGCAAATCCCCACCTGCTCAGGTCATAACTACATAAGCTATGGAGAATGAAACCTGTCAACATACCTTCTTCTCTTATTTACCTAAAGTCTAGCTCTTGTTTAATTTACATTGTAACTGTTGTCTTGACCACATGCTGCAACATGTCATCCCTACCATCAGGTGGTACTGAGTTAAATCTAAGTTTCCTATATTTCATGAGCTGATACGATGCCTGATAGCTAATCAATTAGAAGTATACTTAAAACTTCCTTTCTAAAAAGCTAATTTTATAGCATTGATTGCTACTTCAGGATATTTCCAGGAAAAAGCTGAAACAACTGATCTCATATATTGTAGCAAAATCTCCAAACAGCAGCCATGAAAGATGTCTAGGCAAGTTGTAATGTAAAGAATCTAAAAGGAACCACCCACCATGTTTACCTTATCTCCTTAATCCTCATAACGACCATCCAAGGTAAGAGATTTAATTTCCCCATTTTACAGGTCAAGAAGCTGAGTCTCATGGAGGTTGAGGTAACTAATCAAGGTCACACAGTTTATGGGTAGGGGCCTGGACTGTAGGACTCCTGCCATGCCTCCTATCTGTAAATAAGACTCATGGAAGACACAGCAGGAAACAAGCAAAGAACTAAAATCTGAAGGAAAGACATGACTTTCATGACAAATTCAACACAATTTCTGAAGTAGTGCAGCATACTCACGATTTTAGAAATGATGCATCTTTCAAGCAAATCTGAAAAATTAAGGAAGACACATTATAAAAGCTGACATTGACATAACTCTGATATTAATAAGCTAGTTTCTTGTTAACTCTCCTAAACAACAGGACTTAGCTAAGTCTTAATCATTCACTAAGTAAAAAACGTTCTGAGCATAATTTCTAAGTAGCAATATCTTACAGACAAACAAAAGAGACATGAATAAGTGGAAGGTGTTCCTTACATTGGTCCAAACAGTCTTAGTTTGAAGAACAATGACTTAAAAAGAGACGGGAGGGGGAGTCCCCATGGCAGAGTGGTTAATTTCAGCATGTTTTGTTTCCATAGCCTGGCTAGCAAATTGGGATCCCAGGCACAGACCTACACCGCTCATCAGCCACTCTGTGGTGGTGACCCATATATAAAGTAGAGGAAGACTGGCACAGATGTTAGCTTAGGGCTAGTCTTCCTCAGCAAAAAATGAGGAGGCAGGCTAATCTTCCTCAGCAAAAAAAAAAGAGAGAGACTGGAACTAAGTGTCCTCCATTCTCATTCCTCAGTAACAGAGATGATGCCTCAGCTGACAAAACCCTTTCCCCTGCCTATCTGCCTCCTTGTTTTCACTGACCAAGAGGCAGCTCAAGTGCCACCTCCCTGAGAAGTCTTCCCCCTAGATCCACCAGGAAAGAAAAGGAGAGATATCTAACTAATTTGGAGCACAATGGTCCTTCACTTCCTTTGGTCACAGCCCTGCTCTGAGAATCTAATGGAAGTAGACTTTCTTCTCAGAAAAATATGTGTTCTCAAAAAAAATTAAGGGCCGGCTCCGTGGCCGAGTAGTTAAGTTTGCGTGCTCTGCTGTGGCAGCCCAGGGTTCAGATCCTGGGTGTGGACAGGGCACCGCTCATCAGGCCACGTTGAGGCAGCATCCCACATCCCACAACTAGAAAGGACCTGCAACTAAGATATACAACTATGTACCCGGGGGAGGGTTTGGGAAATAAAGCAGAAAAAAAAAAAAAAAAGATTGGCAACAGTTGTTAGCCCAGGTGCCAATCCTTAAAAAAAAACAAGGAAGATTGGCAACAGTTGTTAGCCTCGGTGCCAATCTTTAAAAAAAAAAAATTTAAATATAATTCCAGTGGATTCTATAACTTCTAAGGTCCCAGGTTAAGAGTGCTTGCTATAGAGAAAAAATGGATACCTCATAGGTAGTTAGCAGTACATGAAAACAAGCCTCCTGTTTCAGGTCTTGCTGTAGGTGGGCTCTCTCCTCCTTGTCACCTGCATATGTGACACAGGAAAGACCTGGAGCAAATCTGAATCCAAGAAAAGAGGTAGATGAACATAAATGCAGAGCCAT